TATATATAGAGAGAGAGAGAGAGATTACTTTTATTTTGAGATTATACTCAGTCTAATGATTTATACTTTGCCTCCCCCTCCAGCACCAAGAATTGGAACACTCCAATGATCTTTGACCTAAAGGAAGGCACAGTCACCCTGATAGTGCAGACTGAGAAGTAAGTGTCAGTTTCTTGATAAGTTTAGATTGTCTTGAAATCATGTTGAAATATGCCAGAAAAAAATTACTTTGAAATTTGAAAGTTTTCAATTTTTTGCGTGTTGTATTATGTTGTTACAGTAACATAGTAAAGATCCAAAACTGAAATTTGTATTTTTTCCAGGCACTTTGCTCTGGTTGACAACAGTGGTATACAGGTGTACTCGTATGAGGTAAGTCCAAAGAGGGTGATGATCACTTTTTGGTGATCTCTTAGATAATGCATTTTCTCCACTTACACAAGTAAGCGACCACCGGATTTTATTTTTCTCAAGTGGGCTTCTTGGACAGTTTTGATTGTAGATGATGTTGAGACTTAAAAACATGATGGCTGAATGTAAACTGTACATGTTTGTGTATTCCCAGGGCCGAATGCAGGCATCCCCCAAAGTCCCCGGCCTGCGTCCGGACGTACTAAACGTGCAAACTCTCGCTATCAGTAATGATGCTGTGGCCATACGCGACAAGAAGGACGAAAAAGGTGAGGAGAAAACTTAAACAACTCTCACTTATTTGTTTATTCCTCTATTTATTTGCATAAAAATGTAAATAATGAACATTTAATAAAGGTCAGACATCAAGGTTTACTTACACAAGAAAACAGTTACTCAAGCAAGATTTTTCAAAATCTATCCAGTTGCTTGAGTACTGATAACTGTTTTCTTGACATTTAGATGCAAGATGCTTATGTCACAGCCTTACCAAGGCAGAATTTATTTCAGAATGCATTTTCAACTGTTGATACAAGTTCCAAAGTTTGAGAATAGCTACATGTACAGGGACACTTTTGTACACAAAGTGTAAGACCCATTTTTCTGTACCTGACCCACTGCCCTGAAGGAATGGCGGGGTCTTGGATAGAGGAACTGGAAAGTTTAGGTCTGACGGACCCTCCAGCTCCTGTCACTACTGTGCAGTGTGTCCCCCTCCCCAAACCTGATACATTCCAACGACTGGATACATTCCAACAGTCTGCTACATCCCTACTGCAACAACCTGCTACACTCCAACAACCCGCTACGACCCCTCAAACCACTACACAAACTGCTACAGTACAGCCACAGTGGGAGGCCTCTCTCATTGGTCGATTTCTCAGGGGTAAGGTTAGGGGGCTGTTGGACTGTTCCATTGTTGTTGGAGGGGTGGCAGGTTCTGTTGGACTGTTCCATGTTGGAGAAGGGGTGGCAGGGCTTGTTGGACTGTTCCATGTTTGAGGAGGGGTGTCAGGGCAAGTGTTCTCCTTCAAGTGTTCCATGTTGAAGGAGGGGGCAGGATCTGTTGGACTGTTCCATTGTTGCAGAAGGGAGCAGGGCTTCTTGGACTGTTCCATGTTGGAGGAGGGGACAGGGTCTATGGACTGTTCCATTTTTCATGTTTCAGTTCCAACAGTTCTATAATGTCCACATTTTCATACATAACACAGCAACAACTATATTGCATTGTGTATTTAATTTGATGACTAGCCTGTGTATACAAGCTCTCGGCTGGACGTTAATGACCCCCACCCCAAGAGCTTGTGGCAGAATAGCTGTAAGTCGGGCGGCCCGTTCCCTTTCCTGGAGTCACCAATAGGAAGCCAGTATTAGGAATTAATGTGGGAACCGACCGGGCCATCACGTGGTACGGCGCCAGGCAGCCGGAGAAGGGCGGAGTACCGGGCGGGGACGAAAAATTTGATCGACTGCGGGTGGGAATTTCTCAGAAAAATGGCTGCGACTAGCCCGAAACCGAGTTTCTGTGCATTCTGGAGTCAGTGTGTGTGGACTTTGGGAGTCCCTGGCCCCTAGAGCCGCTTCAGGAAAATGCGATAAAATTTTTAGTTAAACAGAGAAACGACGTGTTTACGTGCCTTCCTACCGGCTATGAGAAGACCGAGATCGTGAAACAGTGCAGAGCAAACGAAAACGGCGGGTTGACGACATTCTTGTGCTTTGTTGACGATGTTGACTCCTGTCAAATTATCGAAACTTAATTGCTGGAATCTAAAATGTTACTGGGTTCTCCTAAGCGGGAGTTGTTTATTGTTTTGATCGGTAAAACGCAGGGTAAAATACGCTAGAAATTAATTACTTTGTGGGTAAAAGAAAACTCACGCCGAGGGCGAGGTCCACACTTCCGGGTTCAGCGACGACAAAATGACGCAAAAAACGCTAACAATCCGCATAGAAGTATATAATTTCCCGACTGATTCTTGAAACTATGCATTTCTTCACTAGAATATCGATGTGTGGTTGTGGAAAATAGCATTTTAGCGCTTATATCGAAGAAAGAAAAGTTGTTTACACGCACGTCGGCTCGGTCAATCTTCAATAACCACCGGCGCTGCCGGAAGCGGACGCTTCAACTAATCAGAGATGCGAAATGTGGACATAGCCGAGTGAAAATCGTGACGTAAATACAAATCCCTGGATGAGATTCTTTTCTCTCGGTGTGACTCCCATTTCCCACGAGGAAGTTCCAGAAACTTTGGAAAATAGAAACAGATTCGACTCGCGAGCGGGTGGCCGCGCCTTCCTCGGCCAAACTTCAATTTTGGGACATGAAAGGCGCGCCGACGTCCATCACTGGGTAGCGACCGACAGGCCCATAGCAACCATCTCTGTTGGGTGCCGCACCGTCTGAGGGCCGTTCGTGACGTTTGCATCTCATTAACCATATATGGCAGACCAGGGCCGTCGACACACCGCCAGCTTTACGCGTGCTTGACATCAAGCTTTTGGGGGGCGGCAACCTAGGGCGGCGGCCGCCAGGAGCGCGATTTAGTCAGGCTAATTTGATGACATTTCCGTTTGTCCACAGTTGTCCACTTGTTCGACGCCATGTCAGGAAAACCACTCGGAGATGGGAAACCTTTTGTACACAAGGTAAGACACATTACAGAATGCAGCCAAAACCATCATAATTTAAATTTACAGCAAATTGACATGTAATACAACTGATGTCTATCTATTGATTAGTAACACAGCATGGATAGAAACATTATAATATTTATTATATAGATATCCTTTTAGATGGATGGAGGGATAGACAGATAGATAGATAGATACTACTAGGTAGAGATAAATTGGTGGACAGACTGATTGATTGATTGATTAATTGATTGATTGATTGACGTATTGATTGATAGATTGACTAATGGTTTGATTTATAGACTGATTGATTGATCGATCGATAGATTGATTGATTGATACTGATAGATAGATGGACCAGTGCGTCCCTGCCCCAGAACGTCAGCTAGCTCTGATTGATTGATTGATTGATTGGTGGATTGATTGATTGGCTGATTGATTGATTGATTTATGCAGAATGTGGGACTATTCATTATCCACTGCCTTCAAAGAAGAAGTCGAACCCCACAATAGCTAGCGTAGTAGTAGAAGTAGAAGTTTTTTTCCAGACAGCTGTTACCTGTCTCCTGTTACTGTATTGCAATGAGTATTATACTTGATTGTAAAAGCAATTAGCCTTCGGGCATGATTTTGCAAATACATGTAAAGTTTCTATTATTTATTGGTTCCCCCAGTTGGAGGTGATGGAGGTAGCGCTGGACCAGTGCGGCCCTGCGCCAGAACGCCGGCTAGCCCTGGTGGACAGGAACCGGGACCTGTACCTGGCGCAAGTACGCGCCACCGGAGGCACCAGGAAGGTCATCAAACTAGGTGGGACGAAACAAACAAATTTCGTTTATTGTTATCATGAAAGTTCATCTGTGTTGGTAGTTACATGTTTAAAGTTAAAACTTTTGGTCCAACACAAAAAGTTCTCTCACCTAGAGCTTTCGACTAGTCACCCTGGTCTTCCTCAGTAGACTGAACCAGTGAAGCTTGTCACATGGCTTCTTTGAAGTGTGACGTCAACACTGGGTCAAAGGTATCTGGTAGACAATGTCAGCCCAGAAATGAGTACCTAGCTCATTTCCACTTGAGTGAAGTGAGGAAAGTGGTGAAAAGTACCTTTCCCAAGGGCACAAGATCGGTGGCATGGTTAGGATTCGAACCCGGGACCTCTTGGTCCTGAGCCAAACACGCTACCGTTTATGCCACATGACTCATTCATTCATTTATACCTGAACTTCGATTTCTTCACAGGCACAATGGTCCACTCCATGTCGTGGAATGATGAAACCAACATGCTGGCAGCCCTACAGGACACAAAGCTGGTTGTGTACTACTTTCCAAACGCTGTGTACGTCGACAAGGACATACTGCCCAAAACTGTCATGGAAAAGGACGCCACGTAAGAGCAAGTTCATTAAAACATTATACATCATGTGTGGGACCTCATACTGCACTTTTGTGGGTGTTACACAAGACAAAACCATTGTAGAATAAGTACTACTTTCCCAACGCTGTGTATGTGGACAAGGACATACTCCCCAAAACTGTCATGGAAAAGGATGCCACATAAGAGCAGGCCACTAATTCTTTACTACTACAAATAACATGTTCTCAACTAAAAACAGAAATTCTGCCATTCAATGAATGTAATTTGCATTTAATGAATATAGACATAAAAAGTTCAAGTTTGATCAGATTCAATTAAACATTGCACAACATAGTATCGTCCCTTAGACAGCTCTTCTTTCATATGAGTTCACCGGAACATTGGAACAGGGTAATGTTCTATTTGGGTCATCAGCACAGAACACGTGTTCCTTATGAGAGTCACCCGAGGTCATTGGAACATAAGTTTTTTTGGAACAGAGTCGTGTTCTATTTATGTCACCCGTGGTCAATTGCAGGTGATTATTGGATTGTTTAATGTATGGATTGGGCTGAATAATGACCTGTTTTGATTCTATTTGTGACATCACAGCGTCATAAGCCATGTGGAAATTAAAGTAGCCTTCTGATTAGAGTTGTGTACCGGTACGCAGTACCGATACTGTACCGGAAAAATTGATTAGGTACAGGTCCAAAATACCTAATCCCTCAGTACCGGTACTGTACCTAAACAATTTCACACCAATTTTATGCCTATTTGTGACCTCAAATGTGTAAATAGCTGGTTAACAATGGGTCCCTGTGTAAGGATAGTGTGTTCAAGAAAACAAAAACACCTATATTTTATCTGAGCATTCGCCATAAACAAAGAATAAACCTTAACTATCAAGTTTATTTATGTTTTTTTTGTTATTGAAGGAGTTCAGAAGAGCATATAAATTGGTCGAATTGTTTAGGTACAGGTTCAGGTCCGGACCTGTACCTAAACCTGTGTACCTGTACCTGTACCTAAAATTTGTTTAGGTACACAGCTCTACTTCTGATTGGTCAACGTCACCCGGCTATATGATAATATTTATTAAACTATTTTTTTACGATGTTTTCTGTAGTGAGTTTGGGAAGAACCCCCAGATCGTGAACTTCCTGGGGAATCATGTGATCATCCGCCGCGCCGACGGTTCATTGGTCAGCACCGGGGTGTCGCCCTATCCCAGCATGCTTCACTCCTACGTGTCCAACTCCCGCTGGGATGACGCCGTCAGGCTCTGCAGATTCGTCAAGGTCGGGGACGTTTTGTTACTTCAAGGTCATTTGTCACTGCATGTAGTACTGTACTTGACAATACCGATATCAGCGGTGATATGTATATGCAGATTCGTCAAGGTCAGGGAAGTTTTTGTTACTTGACCTTGTGGAAGTGAAGTGTTCTTTTGGGCTTGTCTTGTGTCTGTGTGTATGTGTGTGTGTGTTTGTGTGTGTGTGTCTATGTGTGTGTGTGTGTGTGAGTTTGTGTGTATGTATGTGTGTGTGTGCGTGTTTGTGTGTGTGTGTGTGCGTGTGTGTGTGTTTGTGTGTGTGTGCGTGCATGTGTGTGTGTGTGCGTGTTTGTGTGTGCATGTGCATGCATGTTTTCATGTGTGTGTCTGTGTGTACGAGTAAGCATGAGTTACATTATGTAGCAAGTGGCAAGACAGAGCTGTAGGGGCTGGTCACCATATGTTTTATGACTGTTTGAGTAAGAATAAACAGAGCAGTACTTTTCTATTTTAGTTTTGTGATGGTAAAAACTATTTTCGCCCTAACCTGTAGGATGAGGCACTGTGGGCCTGTCTGGCTGCCATGGCTGCTTATGCCAAGGACCTCAACACTGCAGAGGTGGCCTATGCTGCAATAGACGAGGTGGGACCAGCATCCTTCATATTATCATGAAAGTTCATCTGTGTTGGTAGTTACATGTTTAAACTTTTGTTCCAACACAAAAATTCTCTCACCTAGAGCTCTCGACTAGTCACTCTGGTCTTCCTCAGTAGACTGACCCAGTGAAGCTTGTCACGTGGCTTCTTTGAAGTGTGACGTCAGCACTGGGTCAAAGCTTCACTGGGTCAGTCTACTGAGGAAGACCAGAGTGACTGGTCGAAAGCTGTAGGTGAGAGAATTTTTTGTGTTGGAACAAAAGTTTTAACTTTCAAAATGCTTCATAATGTTGATACTTTTTTTAGAAATCATTGTATATTCTTATTTACGTCGGTGAAGGTTAGACATCCAGGTAACAAGATATGCCAAAAAACAGTTACTCAAACAACTGGATATGATTTTGGACTGTCAGACATTTCACCTTTGACACTGGACTCTTGTCAGAAAAGCAGGTTAATGACCACGAACTATTGATTGATACGCAAGTTAGTGAAGACAAGTTAGTGAAGTCCAAAAGGAAACAAAAGTTATACAAGTCAAGACAGCGATGATGCAAATTAGTCAACTTATCTTTTTTCCTTTGCAGGTGGACAAGGTGCAGTACATCTTACACATTAAGGAGATTCCCTCCAAGGAGGCGAGAAATGCTGAGATGGCGCTTTTCTGCGGAAGTCCCCAAGACGCGGAGGGGATCCTCCTTCAGTCTGGGCTCATCTTCAGAGCCATTCAGATGAACATCAACCTCTACAACTGGGACAGGTCGGGCTTTTGTTATTTCTCTCATTCACTCACTCACGCACGCACTCACTCACTCACTCTCTCAGATGAACATCAACCTCTACAACTGGGACAGGTGGGGCTTTCGTTTTTACAAGCTGAAGAAAGAAATGTTTCACACTCACTCACTATCCTGGTTTAGATTTTACTGCTGCCGGTTTCCCTGTCCCAGGGGTGGGCAGCAGTCGGCTGTTCTGCACACCTCGTCTCCAGCTGGCTCTGTCCTGTGGGTCTGTGCTGGACAGACCACACTCCTTTATATCCTTCCGAATGCACTCTAACCAAGTTTTTCTCGGCCTGGTTTAAGAAGATCTTTAATTTAAATGTTTACTTATTTGAAACACCTCTTAGCAAACTTGTTCAGTCTGTCATATTCACACATTACACAAAATCAAGAAGGTTGTCTGGTCAAAATGAACAAAACAAAAGAACGATTGTCTACAGTCTACAGTACTATGGTCCTTACCTGTGGAACGCTCTTCCGCTACAGCAACGACAGCTCCTTAGTCTCAGGATGTTTAAGCAGTTCATTAGAAGCAGGACTTGACACTGTTGATGTTTAGGATGTTGTATGTACTGTGTATTTGTTGTGTGTATTTTTATGTGTATCCAGGATTACCTGAAAAGCAGGCCAAAATGGCCTGAGCTGTAATTACTGGTTAAATAAATAAATTGCAATTGAAAATGAATGTGTTTGTCTTGCAGAGCCCTGGAGCTTGCGGTGAAGCAAAAGACTCACGTGGACACGGTTCTGGCCTTCCGACAGAAGTACCTGGAGAAATTCGGCCGGAACGAGAAGAGCAAACGCTTCCTGCAGTACGCAGAGGGGGTGAGGCAATCTGTCCTTCTGTTTATTTCAAAGTTGCTACTTCTTAATGGACGTTAAGCTGTTTTATGGAGACAACATTTAACAAACAAACAACTCGATGGTTCTCTCCCGCCCATTTCGTCTGTAGTCCGACGACCTAGACTTACCCTGGCAGGGCATGTTGTTCGCAGTAACGAACCAGCTGGTAGACTAGTACAGTGGCTTCCCACTGGGAGACGTAAAGTGGGACAGCCTTATACTAGACTTGTCTATGTTAGAGAGAGACGCTGGTCTCGCAGGGACTGCTCTAGTGTCTACTAGTACTATGAAGGATAGGACATACTGGAGTAACTTTATCAAGTGTACCTGTGTCTAAGGTCTTCCCAGTACTAGTGTATGTGAATCAAACCTTAGACTTGTCTCATGCACAGGGTGTCATGTCTGCTACAGCACCAGTTACCATGGTGAAAGTCGTCTGGACCAAGGCACCAACCTTATTTGTTTGGAGAAGAAGAAACTGAGCAAAAACAACGTGTTTTTCCTTCGGCGAACAAGAAAATAGTTGTTTACCTGTTTATTGATTGTTGTTTATTGTTTATTGTTTACTCAGGTTGAGGTTGACTGGCAGAAGATAGAAGCAAAGATCGAGATGGAGCACCAGAAAGAACGGGAAAAAGCGGCCACAGCCCGGCGGTAACATGGAGGGAAGAGATCGGGTTACACGTAGAACATAGGGCTTTAACATGGAGGCAGGGGTTCAGGTTACATGTAGAACATAGGACTGGGCTTCAACATGGCTGGTGGCTATTAGGTTACAAATAGTGTTCATTTCAACATGGCTGAAGAGTATCCGATTTTAGAATCAAGGCTAGTTAGTAAAAGGTGTTTCGGGATTTCCTTCAGCATGGCCGACAGATATCACCTTACAGATAGAACCCGGGTTGTGTACAGATCTACTTCAACATGGCTGATGGGTGTCCGGTTACATGTAGTGTTTGCTTCAACATGGCTAAAGAGTATCCGATTTCAGATTTAAGGCTAGTAAAAGCGGGTGTTAGAGATTTCCTTTAACATGGCCGACAGATATCACCTTACAGAATCTGATAGAACACGAGTTGTGTACAGCTCTAGTTCAACATGGCTGAGGGGTGTCAGGTTACAGATAGTTTTGCTTCAACATGGCTGTAGAGTATCCCATTTCAGATTTAAGGCTAGTGGAGGCGGGTGTAAGCGATTTCCTTCAACATGGCAGGTAGATATCGCCTTACAGTTGTGTAAAGCTGTACTCCAACATGGCTCGTGGCTATTAGGTTAATCAGATAGCTGTGCAGACAAATATCAAGTTACAGACAGAAGGCTGTATGTACTTCATTCAATACATGACACTTGGTAATTAGTCTTTGAGTTCCTAAGTATACCATAAGCAAGGGTAGGTAGTTCTTTTTTGTGAAGTTACATTCCACAAAGTTGATACTATATAGTGTGTATATTGTGTGAAATATTGTGTATATATTAATAAAGTATTTGTCCTTGATACAATCCTATTGAAAAGATTACCAGTTTTGTGTGTGTACAATCTATGAATAGAGTTTCCTATGTAGATAATCTATTAAAAGTGAAAATTCACAATTTAAGGCTTGTTTGTGATTCCTTAAGCTCGTATGTGATTTCTTAAACTTGTATGTAAGATGGATAAATAAAGACACACTTGCTTGTGTTTTTTTATTTCAAATTTCACATTTTGAAAATAGACATAACATATACATACATAGACCATAGAAATTCCTGCTTTTGAATCTGATGATATTTACAAAGTACTTTGAACTACGTGGGTCAAAAGTAAGACGATACTTTCCCGTAACAGTAATAGTAGTATATTATTCAAGTTTGGTCAAATTGTCAAAACACGAGAAAGCTGGCAAAAAATAGCTGTAAATTACCAAGTAATATTTTCCTGATCCTTATAAATACAACATTTTGTTCTTAGCAAGAATTAGTTTAGATTTAAAGATACATGTATATAGGACGGCAACCACAATTTGCAAGCAAAGTATTCACAGTACGAGTGCATGATACATTGTACTTAATACTTTTAGACTACACACACACACTTAGCCTATTATAGCTCCCGAGTTCTACAGTCAAATATTTGTGGAGAGGATGTAGGACTCGGGAGCTATAATGCATTTGGTTACCAGGCTAACACACACACTACACTAGATTTTAGCCAAAAGGCCCAGAAGCATGTATGGGAACATATGATACAATTTACCAGTTGATTCTAAACAGCAGTATACAATCTTCATTACAAATGTTACACATAAATATCTTTTGCCCCATGAAGGTTAGACATCCAGGTAATACGATACACCAAAAAGCAGTTACTCAAGCAACTGGATATGATTTTGGAAACGGTCAGACATTTCAGCTAGTATCCACTGACGAAAGCTAGTGGACACTAGCTGAAATGTCCGACCGCTTCCAAAATCATATCCAGGCAGTTGCTTGAGTAACTGCTTTTTGGCATATAAATATCTTTTGATTTCCATTTCATCAACAAGCAAAATTTCATTTTAAACTTTCAAGTCACTTTATTGAGAGCCCTGCGCATGCCTTTCCAAAAAGAAGACTGCTTGTAGGCGTTACAATGTGCGACATACTGAGCGGTCCAAAATGTGCACTGCATGGAATAAACAAAACAAGAAAAAGAGATTAAATCCTCAGAGACAATTCAAATTCCACTACTACGGGTACAAAGATTACTAGTACTTCTGGATGTTTTGGGTGACATCCAACCCTGTTTTTGCCAAATTCTATTTTCCATAACCCCTTAGAAGACCTGGCTGAGGCTAGACTGTTTGTCAGTCTACTGCTAACGGATAAGTGAAAAAGCCTCACCTGTTTTGCTGGTTTGTCGCATGCGAAACAGTAGCACTTCTCGCAGTGAGCTGCATTCTGTTGGTTAGGACGTCTTCCAGCCACATTACATGGCTCAGTTACACTGTAGAGCAGAGACAAGAAATCATAAAGGAGCCAGGGTCATAGATAGGGAGGACAACAGGAGAATCCGATGGATTAAAGAAGCAGTCTGGATAAGGAAATCAACCCCAGTGATGAACCGGGACGAGGGGGGATACAAGCTCAGCCACGTTTAGGATTGCATTCTCGCCGCAAAAGCGCCACCTACTTTGGCGATAAATAGCGGCGAGTTGCAGAACTCCAGTCAGAAGCTCCGTGAGGAAGGTGTCTGATAGACATCGAAACGTAAGCAGGTGAAAACCTTACTGGTTGTGTATGAAGAAAATTCTATTCCCTAAGAAATCATAGATATCAAATATTTTGACAAAGTTTTTGACAGTTTTCTGTCAAAAACACAACCAAAAAGACTTTGTTTGACATGCATTCAAACAAAGTCTTTTTCTAATTCTAACAAATTCTAACAAACTACTACTGTTTATTACTCAGCACATTCATGTATGGTGTGACATGATTCCAACTCTGTCCTGCAACTTGCTACATAATGTAACCCGACACTGCAGAGTGTCTGCTACAGCACCAGTTACCATGCTGATAGCTGTCTGGTCCTAGTCATTGACCTTATGTACTTGGAACAGAAGAAGAAACGGAGCAAAAACAATAATAACTAGAAAGGTAACATTTGAAAAGCAAATGGCATAATGTTTACCTTCGGATATGCTCTGCTCTGTTAATTCTTACTCAAACAATTCAAATACATGTATATGGCAACAGGAGTCTAAATGCCTTCTATGAACTTTGCAACATTATGTAACCCCAACACCAGTTACTATGGTGACACTCACAGACATCAACAAATCAGGCCATTGGCCAGGTCAGAGGTTAGTGTTTGGAACAGAAGAAGAACGTAGTAAAACATATGTTTTCCTTCGGTAAACATAATCAAAATCAACCCACCTGAATGGATGATGCGGGCAGGCAGACCGGGGATGGGGGTAGTTCGCGGTGTCGCCAAGTCTGCTGTACGTCACCACAAAGCCCTCCTGTCCAGGGCTGCCAGCTACAGACACACACCTGAAGGAACGAATGAATGAGTGAGTGAGTGAGTGAGAATGAGTGAGTGAGTGAGAGTGAGTGAGTGAGTGAGTGGGTGAGTGGGTGGGTGGGTGAGAGTGAGCGAGCGAGCGAGCGAGCGAGCGAGTGAGTGAGTGAGTGAGTGAGAGTGAGTGAGTGAGTGAGTGAGTGGGTGGGTGGGTTTTATTCAGGTTAAAATCACTCAGCCATTTTGCTGAATTGTGGATTTCATAACAATACTTGGTACTTTCGAAAAGACAAAGGTAGCATTTACATTCATAATATAAAATAAGTCCTTTTCACATATATCTAACAATTCCATGGCAGCTTAACATTTTAAAAAGATTCCATTTATATATTTATACCTGGTCTTCTTTTCTGGTTGTTCCCAGGATGATCACACTTGGGTTCCGTGTCTTTTACAGGCAGCTCTTCTGGAGTAGAAACTGTGAAAAACAAGAAATAGGAGATTTTAGTTAGGTGAATTTTTTTGTTTTATGCATTGTGCATTTCCCTGTCTACCTCTCCCAGATGAATTTTTCCCAAGACCACCCTAGCCTAGCCGTAATGGGTTATTGTTCATAATAAGCTCTGAGAATTAAACGTAATTCGTAATTCGTAAATTATGATACCCCCCCCCATGCATCTTTCTGATACTTAGCTCTACTTTCATGTTTCAATGTCTAATGTCAGCAGGGCAAACCCTTTGTAATAGCCACTGGCTAGTTGGGCTGCCCTGGCTGTGAGGGTTGAACAGCCAAACCGATAAAATAGAAAAATAAAAACAGAGAAACAAAACTGACCCAAAGGGATTTTGGGCACTGAACAAGACTATTTCTTGAGAGGGGTGAAGGAAGCTATTTACATCAGGGCCCATCACCCTTCATTGAACCGCGACGGGGGCCGACATCGTCTACCAGATACCTTTGACCCAGTGTTGACGTCACACTTCAAAGAAGTCACATGACTTCACTGGGTCAGTCTACTGAGGAAGACCAAAGTGACTGGTCGAAAGCTCTAGGTGAGAGAACTTTTTGTGTTGGATCTAAAGTTTTTAACTTTAAACATGTAACTACCAACACAGAAGAACTTTAACCATAGTAAAACTGACCCCCCTCCATCTGCTTGGTGTTGTCCACTGCTTCCAAAAAGATGACGTCATCATCGTCCTCTGCAACGTCACTGCCGTCAGTTTGGTTCTGCGCAGGCGCCCCGAGTGTGATGTTCACGTGACTTGTGTACGTCTGCAGGGCAAATAACACAGGTTAAACACCATAAAAACACCTAAAAACTTGTATGTAACTTGGGTAAGTCTACTGTAGCATCTACCAGGCCTCGGAGGCGGCTGGAAACTTGAGTAGAGGTCAGTCAAATTGAGAGAGAACATGCCAGGGGGGTTGGTCTGCTGGAGGGAACAGTTTGCCGCACCCAGCAGGCCAACTCCCCTGGCATGTTATCTCTCTATTTGACCGATCTCTATTGTTTCCTGTCTACTATTTGTCATATGACACCATAAAAAAAACTAAAAACAGCTTCATGTAACTTGTGAAAGTCTACATGACGTCTACGGGGGAAATTACACAAGTTAACACCATAAAAACACCTAAAAAGCCCTAAAAACATCTGCAGTAATAGTTACGTTTCACACTGAAGAAGCTGTCAAATGTTGCCCTCCATGTCTAATTTGAATTGGTGTATCTCTGGGGTGTTGCCTGTTCAGGCTTTTCGTTATAAATTCATATGACACCACGTTACGCCATGTTGGACATGTTGGATTAATTCAGTGCAACTTGCGCATGCAATATATGTTTTCACATTCTCAGGTATTAAAAGAAAGAAGTTATGCACAATTTTGACACAGCTTTAGTTTAGCAGAATGATCGCCTAATTTTATCTAGAACTGTGCAATTCGGTCGTTTTTCGGCCTAAGTACGAGAAAAATGAAGATTATGTGGACAAACCTACCGCCATCTTTCTGCTACGGAATTTTCCAGTACAGTCGATTCAGATACAGATTCTGGCAGGACTCGTGCAGTTTCCGATTTGGCGCCAGAATTTGGCCTTTGAACCTTTTGGGAGAGACCATTAGGACCAGGGGTTAGTTACCTCAAACATGTAGACTACATAGAATTAAAAATTCATTAAATAGACAGCGTAGAATTACAAATACATGTAGCCTATTTTCTCATACGTCATACATATTTCTATATGTTTTATCGCAAACATTACATAAATGTAAGGCATTTTGAACCAATAACTGAAATTATGTTATAGTGACCTCCCTAGTAATGAGTGTAGATGTCCCAAAAGTAACCAATTACAGCAAGGAAGATTCCATCAGTGGGTGGGGGTGAATCGCGATAGATATTATTTATTCATTCGTTTATTTTTCTATGTAGTTTGGCTGTTTTGGCTTTTTAATCAGACACAGATATTATATATGAGATACTAAACGATGGATACTACACGATAGATATTCTTACATTCCCGTCTGCCTTTAACTTTGACACACGCACTGAATTTTAAATGTCTGCAAACATGGTGCCAGCGCGGTGGGATTCTACAAACGCTGGATACAGGCCATGGGTTTTTTTCTAGCAAATTTGTAGCCTCTACCAGGCATCGGGATGCGGCTGGAAAGAGTAGAAATCGGCCAAATAGAGAGATAGCATGCCGAGGGAGTTTGTCTGCTGGAGAGAACAGTTTGCCGCTAAATGTACTCTCTTTCGGACCAACTCCCTCGGCATGTTATCTCTCGATTTGATCGCTCTTTCCAGCCCCCTCCCGAAGCCTGGTAGAGGCTAGCAACGTTGTGTTCCAGTAGGATGTGTGTATGTGAACTCTTCTTTAGTTTCAGATGAAGCTCAGTTTGAGCTCTTTAAAATTGCCGTGTAGGACGGTATCGCACGAAAAGTACGCAAAAAAGGTGTCAACGGTGGGATTTTACTACCACTAGATACGGCACAATGGGGGTATTTCTAGCAAAGTTGGATATTCTTTCTTTCCCGTCTGCCTTTAACTTTGATACATGGCATGGAGTGAATTTTGAATGTCTGCAAAACTGGTGTCAGCACGGTGGGATTCTACGAACACTGGATACAGGACATGGGGGTATTTCTAACAAAGTTGTAGCCTCTACCAGGCTTCGGGAGGTGGCTGGAAAGAGTAGAAATCGGCCAAATAGAGAGATAGCACGCCAATGGACTTGGTCTGCTGGAGAGAACAGTTTGCCGCTAAATGTACTCTCTAGCGGACCAGCTCTCTCGGCATGTTATCTCTCTATTTGACCGCTCTTTCCATCCCCCTCCCGAAGCCCGGTAGAGGCTAGCAACGTTGTGTTCCAGTAGGATGTGTGTATGTGAACTCTTCTTTGGTTTCAGATGAAGCTCTGTTTGAGCTCTTAAAAATTGCCGTGTCGGACGGTATCGCACGGAATGTACGCAATAATGGTGTCAGCGGTAAGATTTTACTACCGCTAGATACAGCACGATGGGGGTATTTCCAGCGAAGTTGTGTTCCAGTAACATGTGTGTATGTGAACTCTTCTTTTGTTTAAAATGAAGCTCTGTTTGAGCTCATAAAAATTGCCGTGGTGGCCGGTATCTCACGTCCTCCAGGCGGGGTATTGGGAAAAGTTTTCAACTAGCAATAATCACGCCTCGGTTGGACCTCATTGGCTATGATATCGCCTCTGCGCAAAGCTGGTTGGACAGAGCCGGGCTGTGGTGACGGGCACAAAAGGGGTGTACTTCTGGTTGTGGGACAACGTTGCAAATGGTGAGAAGCTACTTTCCAAGCAGAGGTTTGGGATTTGGGTTATTCTTGACGTGTTTTAGGATTTTTTTTATCAGGTTTCTTTTTGAACAGAATTTTTTTCACCCAACCCATTTTCCAGTGCAAAAAAAAGCCTAAAAACAGGCCCAAAATAACCCAAAGTCCAAACTTCTGCTTCGAGAGTACGTGGAACAAGTTTAGCTTAGAAAATGGTGAAATGCTTACTTTTTACAACGACCATACCATAATTCTAAACTAGTATTTCACATACCCTATAAAGTGTGAGTATTGATTGATGTTAGAAATGCACTTCAGATGCTGATGCCAAAAGAAGAGTGTACACATTTATGCGTAGATCTAAAACCATTTTACACTCTGATAAGACCAACGTAAGATGCACGTAACAGTCATGTGACTGCCTAATTAACATAAGTCAAGGTTGACTCTCCTTTCATTGTCTTGGCCAAACCTGTTCTAACCATCAGTTTGCTGGTTGAAAATGCATGATGTTGATGTGAAATAAAGTCATTCAAAGTACTATAACGGATATGATGTTATTTACGGTGAATTCGACGACTCACCCTATCGAATAATACAGACTAGAGGAAATAGAATGTGTCCTATCTTGTCCTTGACCGATCATCTGTGGCCACCTTAGCTCAGAGGTAGAGCACTGGTCTCGTAAACCAGGGGTCGTGAGTTCGAACCTCACAGGTGGCTTAGTACCGAATAGTTTTTTGTTTTGTTTTGTTTTTTTTTACTGGAGGGCTAAGCGATCAAAAGTACTAAAGTAGTAGGAATATAGCCTCTACCAGGCTTCGGGAGGCGGCTGGAAAGAGTAGCTATATAGGAATCGGCCTAATAGAGAGATAGCATGCCAGGGGAGTTGGTCTGCTGGAGAGTAAATTTGGTGCGACAAAATGTACTCTCCAGCGGACCAACTCCCCTGGCATGCTATCTCTCTATTAGGCCGATTCCTACTCTTTCCAGCCGCCTCTCTAGGACTGGTAGAGGCTAGATGTAACCACATTGCTTCTTTCTTTGATTCAGTCTTTCGCGCCTGCAAATAAGCTTTATACCAGATACAAATCCGAGTGTGCCAAGATGTCCTTGGTTTCTTTGTGTACTGCTCTAAGTCCTGCGTCTAGAACTAAGTTAGCCCCAAGGCGTTTTTCTGGCGGACCACCGTGTGTTAGTGTAGGCAGAAGTTATACAGTTCGTGGAAGGTCATATTAACTCTGTTGTAGTTGTATTTCTTAACAGTTTGGTTACGATTCGAAAGTACATGTATTGTACACGTGTGTTCACACGAATTTCATAGAAAAATCTTGATCAGTTTTAAATCAGACTCGTTCAGCTTTTATAGCTTTTATCATGCGTCCAGACTTTCTTGACGAAGAAATTAGAAAACGAAATGCAACTAGTTTTTGGGGAAGTTAGGAAGAACAGAGTGGGGGTTCAGATTTGCCTCATAAGTCCCTCGGACTATTTGCGACTCAAGACGAACAACAAAGGATTTGCGTCCCGCCCGGCAACAGGTGACGTACCTGTGACGTGTGGGGTGAAAACCAGTCGTGCGGGATGATTATGAAGATTACTAGTACGGGTTACAGAATAATTCTTCTTAAGGTTTCACTGTCGTGGGTTAATCTTCGGCGTCCGGCCACGTTAGCAACTCTCGAGTAAACTTGAGTAAACAGGAGTCTTTCAGTGTTTCAACGTTATCCAGAGACAAGGTAAGAACGTCTCCAGTATTCAACCTAGCCTGTGAAACCCAAGCTCCGGGGGGCTCCCTACATAGTCTAGAGGGCCTGCAGGCCCTTTTTCGTAAGGCGTAATCAGGCCGTTTTAGACTTCGTAATTCGTAGGCAGCCTCCGCAAAAATCAACGTAATTCGTAATTGGACATTAGCCGCAAATCGTAAAATCGTAATCAGCTCTGAAACTTTAACGTAATTCGTAATAGGCGGCGAAAATTTTGCGTAATTCGTAACCACTACCCCCCCCCCTTTGCAGGCCCTCAGTCTAGGGAGCCGACGAAAAGCTAGGTTCAGTCAGGCTATATTCAACCTAGTTACAAAATAATCACTTATTCTCAAAGTTTCACTGTCATGGGTTAATCTTCGGCCTAGACAGCTTAGCAACTAAGGTTAGGTTTATAAACCCTACTAAATAATTAAACAGGGGAGTCTTCCAGTGTTAACGTTATCCAGGGAAAAGGTAAGAGCGTCTTATTGTCCATTCTAGATTGATCACCAGGGTACGTATATGAATCTGTTTTGAAATGCTAAATGTCATGACTGAGATCGTTCAGCCTGTGACAACTCTCCAAGCAGAGGTTGTGGGGGGATGATCGTTAGCTTTTTATATATAGCCTTTTTTGTCGCTACCACCACCTTGGGACGCGTATGGACCCTCTCTGGCCAATTTGATACAGTAACTGTATTTTTTTGCCACCCAAGGATCTGCTTGGAAATTATCGATAACTAGAGCGCCATAGATTTCAGCATGTGACAACCTGAGAGACCGATGGAAATAGGCTGTTTACGGATTGCCAGGGCAACGTTACGTACATATTGTTGTCTCCTTCATGTGTGTGTTACCTTACTTAAGACGTAGTGACTGTACAGAGACGTTTCGAAGACTGAAAAACATCCTGCTGTATCGGTAACAATGGATTTGCTAGATTACTAGTATGTGTATGTGTGTTGGGAGGGGCACTTCTTGTAGTCGTTTGCATACTAGTAGATACATGTACACACACAATAAATATCCAAAAGAATTAGTGACAGTCTGTGGTAGGGTGGAACTCTCTGGTACCAAGGCCGCGGGGTCGGTAGACGACCGGAAACCTACCCGACAGGAACTTACGTTTTGGTCAATGACGTAACATTCTAGTGTTGAATACAGGGGTTTTCTTTCACACAACCAAACTACAAATGTACTTACCTTGCTGACGATGTAACAGTGGGGGGGTTATAGGCGCTACCAACTGACCTAGCCGAGGGGTCTAGATCTTTTAGCCGAATGGTTAGAGCGTCGGGGTGTCAACTGGTGCCCGGGTTTGGCGTGGGTTCGATCCCCGGCCCGGGACCAGGAGTGTTTTCCTGTTTCTATACTCGCTCTTAGTTTCTTACAACGATTCTGACTTTTCAAGTTTCAAAGGTAACCATGGTACGTACAGCACACTGTCAACTATAACACTTGTGACTATCTTACTTCTACAACATCTGTATCCCCGTAGATCACTGTACATTTCACTATAAAGACAGGGTTTAAACAGTGAAGAGGATGTTACCACAACTGTGCAGCCAGGTTGTGGTACTGATCACCGTCCTTCTGATCTCACCGACCCTCGCCCAGACCTGTCCGCCAAACTGTACCTGTTACGGCAACAAGGTTTGTTTGTTTGTTTGTTTGTTTGTTTGTTTAGAATATCTCTATCAGTTATAAATAATTGTATAGTGATCTTCCTGGAGTCCTTGTTTACAAGACAATTAATAGCAATGTACTACTACTACTACTACTACTACTATTGCTAGTCAGTCTCAAAAGACTATGACTTTATGATTACACTCTTAGAAAATTGCAATATCTTACATCAACTTACGTTACAATATACTAATCTACCTGAAGACCTTGTTAACAATACAGTGTATAGCAATAAAAATAGTTAAGTACAATATGTTATATCAACATAAATTAGAATAGTCTAATCTTCCACGAGTATTTGTTTACCGTACATACCAATACAACACATAGACATATACACTATCTTACAATAATTTACGTTATAATACACACTAAAACGTGGTATTTATATCTACATTTCAGGTCGACTGTAGCGGTCAGGGACTCACCCAGGTCCCACGACAAGGCGTTCCTCCGGGGACAACACACTTGTATCTCCGGTCCAACAACATCAACTCCCTCAGTGTCGGCGATTTCACCGGTCTTAACGCTTTACAAGAGCTGGATCTGAGCGACAACAACATCCAGACTCTCAATTATGGCGTCTTCGACCTGCCTAACCTCGAAACTCTGCGGCTTAGGTATGTCGAATATAAATTTGTTAGTTTTTACACCTTTTAGTACAGTACAATTATTTCAGTCTATGACTCATTTACACGCATTTCTACCATTTCATCCAAGTATGAGTTGGTTTTAGCTAGTCTGTGAACTTTTATTTCGTTACGATATCCGGAAGATAAAAATCTCTTATCTTCAAATAGCTTCGCGTATTTTTTTTTAATTCCAACATCTAATCACAAGACGTGGTGGCGGCACACTCAAGTTTTTTTTTCAACTTATATTAATGCCGCCAGCAACACAGGGGACAATACAATACTCATTTTCACCTGAGCGAAGTGAGGACAGTCGTGTAAAGTGCATTTCCCAAGGGCACAAGATCGGTAGCATGTCAGGACTCGAACCCGGGACCTCTTGATACCTAGTCGAGCACTCTGCCGCTACGCCACACGACCCCACAGGGCTTCGTGTAATAATGTGTGTTCGTTCACGATATAGTCTGTTATGTGTATTTTTGTGTGTGTGTGTAACCTGTAAGGCTAAAAATGGCACCCACATTAATTCAAGCCCATTTTCATTGACTTAGGGGGAACTCCATTAATACTATCAGCGCCGGAGCCTTTACCGGCCTGAACAGGATCAAACAGCTGATTCTGAGCGGCAATGCGGTCGGCAGTGTCTCCAGTGACACCTTCGGAGGTCTGAGCAGCCTCGAGAACCTGCATCTTGACAACAACAGCATCAGCGCAATCTCCAGTGGTGCGTTCGAGCGACTCAACAACTTGCAGTTACTAGACCTGAGTAAAAACGCCATCGATGCCGTTCCTGCTGACATCTTCAACGGACTCTCTACTCTCCAGTCGCTGTCTCTTCATAAGAACAGTATCAACGCCATCTCAAGTGACAGTCTACGAGGCCTGGACAGAATTCGTACTCTCGATCTGAGTAACAACTCTATCGCTGCAATTGTGAGTGATACTTTTGCCTCCACCCCAAATCTCACAGAACTGAACCTCGTGAGTAACTCCATAGCTTCTCTCCCGGCTGACGCTTTTGTGGGAGCCAAACAACTTCGGAACCTTCGGCTCAGTAACAACGCCATCAGGACCATCGAGAGGAACGCTTTCTCTGGTATGCTCAGTTTGGACGTTGTCGATCTCCAACACAACCTTCTGAGCAGCATTGAAGATGGCGACTTCTTGGGTCTTCGTGTAGCCAAAACTCTGAACCTAGCACACAACAACCTCACATCACTTCCGGCATGGGCGTTCAGAGGTGCCGAGAACATCGTCACGATCGATTTGCGTAACAATACAATCAGTAGTATCCACAGGGACGCTTTTAGAGGGACACCAGATCTTCGGGTTTTGGATTTACGCGACAACGCCATCGAAACAGAAGACATCGGCGACATGCTCCCAAACATCCAGAACGTCGAGACCCTGAAACTCAGCGGAAACGGCATCAACACCGTCCCGCAAGACTCTTTCCAGGGTCTCACCAACCTAGACAACCTGGATCTGAGCAGGAACAAAATCAGTAGCGTCCAACCGGGAGCGTTCCACGGCTTGCAGGATCTCAAGTCGCTGGATTTGAGTCAGAACCAGATAGATTTTGTGCCAGGGATGATGTTTGAACAAATCGCCAGTCTTCAGGTCCTGCACCTTCACAGTAACCCCTGGAACTGCGACTGTAGGCTACTGGAACTGGTCAGATGGATTCAGGTGTGTTTGTTTGTTTGTTTATTTGTTTAGAATCTTCATTAGTGAATTGCTAAATTGTATGCTAAAGAGTCATTGTTTATAATACCACACATGGGAATACTAGGCACGAAAACACCCAACATGTCTTGAATATATACATGTATATGTAAATTTTGCCATCGCACTAATTCACAGAAAATCAGTTATTTATGTTCCCTTCTTTATTATCCTTTCATTACGCTTGTATGTACCGAGTCACGTGTTAGTAGTCCATACACAACCTGCTGTTAAATAAAATTGTGTTTCAAACTTTACAACTGGATACAACGGTTTGAACACAATTTTATTTAGGCCATGTTGATTTGATTATATGGATGACATCCGCGCGCGCATGAATTTTCGGCCGTTTCCAAAAAAAAAAAGTTTTCAACCATACTGTAAATCGTACAAAACAGTTGCAAAATGAGCAAAAATATACCATAAGTTGCAAGGAAAACATTTAGAAACGATACCAATGTCGTTGGATGCCAAAATCAAACGAAAAAACACGAAATTGTAAAGAAATGAATTCGAAGAGTAGATTATTCGCCAAACCATATTCTGTGCCATTTGTTCAACCTTTATGACCACGTACATTTCATAATGAAAACAACTTTTTTTTTTTTGCAAAACTTTTTTTTTATTCGCACGCGCGCATCAGTTTTAGGGTTCCCAGAGGATGTCATCCATATAATCAAATCAACATGGCCTTATCTATAACACTGGGTGACTAATATGCAATCTGCTGTTAATTACAACAACAGGGCTACATGTAAGTAGGAATGAAGAAGAACTAGACAAGCAAGGTTCTGGATATGTTTGTGTATCTCAGGATACGACTGTGGATCTGGTAAAGAAGAACGACACGATCTGCGCTCCTTCCGGACCGTTCACGGGCCTCGCCTTCCTTACCCTGGCCGACGCACTCCCGGAACTTGAGCAGGGTTGTCCCGGAGGTCGGACAATTGTGACCACGCGTAGACCGCCCCCACCATTTGCGACGACGTCGCCCAAAAGAACTCCAAGCCCTGTCACCACGACAGTCGCCACGACTAGAACCACGACTCCACCGACTGTCCCCGTCACCACGACAGGTATGTTAGGGCTTCTCTACATGCACACACCCGAAGAAAAGGGTGAAGACTATTTACACGTCTGTAACAGTGGGGTTTATCCTCCGCTAACTGACCATGCTAAATGGTCGTGCGACCTTTTAGTGTAGTGGGACTCTTAATCCCAGGGTCGTGGGTTCGAGCCCCACGTTGGGCGCCACTGTAAAAACCGAAAGGGGCGAGCAGGTCACAACCGGGAATCGAACCCGAGTTGTCCGCTTGGCGGTCACCAACGCTAACCACTACACTAAAAGGTCGCACGACCATTTAGCATGGTCAGTTAGCGGAGGATAAACCCCACTGTTACACGTCATCAAGTAGACCATAGCTAGCCCCCTGTTGTAGTTGGAAGGGTGTTGTCTGTTGATATATTTTTGTTTTATTCCAACATGGCCACAAGACATGGTGACGGTACGCTCAAGATTTTTTTCAACTTACTTTTAGGCTTGCATCAACACGGCGGACAATTCAGTACTCATTTCCATCTGAGCGAAGTGAGGGAAGTCGTGATATTGTGCCTTTCCCAAGGGCACAACATCGGTGGCATGTCAGGACTCGAACCCGGGACCTCTTGATTCTGAGACGAAACTCTATCATTACTCAACACACCCCCATTGTTAATATGTTTAACGTCGTCCTCTCTGCTACAGCTGAGAGCGTTACCTCGCAACCCCCGCCGCCGAAGCCCCAGGGTCTGTCCAACACTGCTGTGATAGTACTCGCCGTGGCCAAATGAGCCTTAATACTTATCTCCAAGCAGATCTTTCGGTGGCAAGACAGTATCCATTGGCCAGAGGAGTGTCCATTAGCCACTTCGGTTGGCTAATGGATACAGGACGGCCAATGGATACAGGATGGCCAATGGATACTGTCTTTTGCCACCCAACCGAAAGATCTGCTTGGAGATTACCTTAATACGACCCCGTTCTCACTCCAAAAAATGATCCGGATTGAGCGTCGATCAAAATCCGTCAATCCGGATCATTTTTTGCAGTGTCCTTAATTTCTTTCCCCTGCAGCTGAAAGCAGCAACTCGCCCCCACCACTGCCGCCGCCCCAGGGCTTGTCCAACACCGCTGTTATAGTGATCGCTGTAGTGGTGTCCCTTGCAGTAGTCATAGTCGCCGCCTGTGTTCTCGTGTACCTGTGGGCCAGACGAAAACGCCGGGAGGAACTGGAAGTCAGGAGGGGCGGGGACGCTGGACACGACAATCATTACATGGGCCTTTCAGGTAAGCATGTTATTGAATGTGTCTTCTTGTGTGTTTTGTACAGCCACCTCAAGTCAAGGCGTAACACAGCAGTTTTGTACAGTAAGACTTGACCTTTCGTAAGATGAAACTGAAAGGTTTTATCCACGGCCACTTTCACCGAGGACTCCTACTCTTTTCGCACATGGAGCGTCTGAGAAAACACACACACACACACACACACACACACACACACACACACACACACACACACAAACAAACAAACAAGCAAACAAAAGTTTCTCATCATTCCAGCTTTACCAGGTACATTCCAGCCTCCACCCGTCCCTGTCCGACTACAGTTCTTGAAGCACGAGCTAGACAGGAAAGACCTGGAGCTTCTGACAAACAAACAAACAAATGAACAATGTTTCCTCTCCATCCCACTCCCAGCCTTACAAGGTTCATTCCAGCCTCCGCCCGCCCCTGTCCGGCCGCAGTTCTTGAAGCACGAACTAGACCGACAAGACCTGAAGCTGGCCGGGAGACGAGATCGTCTTAATACCCTATTACAAAGAAAGAAAGAAAGAAACAATGTTTCTCCTCCTCCTACCCCCCAGCTCTACAGGGTTCATTCCAGCCCCCACCCGTCCCTGTCCGGCCACAGTTCTTGAAGCACGAGGTAGACAAGAAAGAACTGGAACTGAAAGAGGAGATCGGCAGGGGAGCCTTCGGTGTCGTGTACCTGGCGACTCGCCACAAGAACCTGAACGGCTTCCCGACAGAGGAGACGGTGGTGGTGAAAACCGTGCACGGTAAGATGCTGCCATGACTAAATTCCAATGTATAGAGTTATAAGATAAGATCGCAAGCTTTCTACACAATATATCTAAGATTTTTAACAACTCAGTTAAAGGTTCAATTATAGATTCATCATTATCAGAGTAGAAAACAAGGTTTAGTTTTAGAATTGTTTGTCTTTCATTGCTGAGTGACTCCCCAGGTCTCAGTGCGGAATCGACACAAACACACGAACTATCAATTAACGCGCCCCAAAACAATATTTCTGTTCCGGTGTCCGCAGCTCACACCAGTTACCAGTGCTGACTCGACACAAACATACAAACAAACATACCAATTAACGCTACCAAAAAGCATACTTCCGTCCCGCTTACGCAGCTTACAGCGGGTACCAGCGTAGACTCAACACAAACACACAAACATACCCATTAACGCTACCGAAAACATTACTTCCTTACCGGTGTCAGCAGCTCACACCAGATCCCATTACTAGCGGACTCGACACAAACATACAGACATACCCATTAACGCACGGAAACCATTACTTCCGTCTCTAAACCTGCAGCGTATGCCAGGTCCCTTTGCGGACTCGACACAAACATACAAACATACCGCCCATAAACCATACTTCCCGGTTCCCACAGCTTACGCCGGGGCGCAGCGCACACAAACACACAAACATGTTAATGTACCCGAAAACATTACTTCCGTACTGGTTTCCGCAGCTTACGCCATGTCACAGACTAGACACAAACACACAAACATACCCAATAACGCAGCCGAAAACATTACTTCCGTCTCAGCTTACGCCGGGGCACAGGAGAGAGCGACCTTCGTGCGGGAGATCGAGACGACCCTTGACCTGGGGAAGCACCAGAACCTGCTGGGATTGGTCGGCTGCTGCACTACGTCACATCCGCCCTACATGGTTACGGAGTACATGCCGTACGGAGACCTCAAAGAGTTTCTGCTCAAGTGTCGGAAGGTGAGAACGTAAAGAAGGTAACAACATCATGTACGGATTAACAAGACTGGCAATGAAAACATACATTACCATGGCGACGGTGGTTGCTGTTAGGGTTATTGCTTGCACGGCACTGCCATCATTTCATGATTTTGAGGAAGACTTGGTACCAGATACAGTGCACTCCTCCTCTGAGTGTATAATGAATGAGCCCCGGGGTCACAGAAAGTAGGGCCATCCGGGGCAAACAGGTCTTCCCAATGGTTTCCAGGAATGTGGGCATAGATGTGGGTCAGAGAAATGCCTGTGGACATTCCATTCCTGTGGACAAAATTTCTGTACAATTCCTAGAATTCTTGCAAACTGTACACAACATTAGGCTCCTCCCTGAGACGTCGCCAAAAATCGTAGCCGTAGGATTTACATCCTTGTCTTGCACCCCCAGTTCGACTTTCCTGTCAGTCTGCGGTTACACTATTTCCCCCTCACTTCCTGTATTATATATTCCAATATCATAGCCTTAAAGTTCACCAGTGTCGGTAGATTTCATTACGAAGCAGGTAAATTTACGTATAAAGAGTGGGTTCGAAAAACGCACGAAAGCAAACGAAAACACACATTTTTGGACAGTTTCTAATTTTCCCCCGTCATTTTCCTGTCCCACAGGCGGATGAGAGGCTGAAGGACAGCACGTACGACCTGGAGCTGCTGAACAAGTACCAGATCGCCCGCCAGATCGCAAACGGAATGGTGAGCTCTTCTACTTTGTTGATATACGAGCATCGATCGTTCGTTCTCGCACTGTTTCTGATACTCAAGAGGAATCTAGCCTGGCTACCATCCGAATTTTGCTCCGCTGCACTACGCTAGAAAAAAAATCACTTGGTAGCGGAGCAAAATCCGGATGGTAGCCAGGCTAAGAGGAATCCTGGTTTAAGAGTTGCCTAGTCATCTTCCATACGAACAGTAAGGATTCATGATTTAATCAGGTGCTACATCGATTCCTGAATCTCTCTGCCAACACTCACTTACTTCGATTTGAACTTGAATGGTTCATGAATGGGTCAAACAAAGTCCCGCCTGGCGCGGTCGAGGTCACCTTCAGGCGTGGTATCCCTACCAATCAACTGTCAAAGTCACCTCCCACCCACCATGCATGCAACGGAAGGTAATTAGGAGACGTACAGAAACACAAACCACAACTTAGCCACCCAAAACAATACTTCTCTACCATGAAGTAAAACAGATTTTGCAACGTGAACGCAAACGATTTCTTTTCCCCGCAGATCTTCATATCCCAGGCCGGTTACGTGCACGGTGACCTGGCGGCCCGGAACGTGCTGGTAGGAGAGGACCTGGTGGTGAAGATCGCAGACTTCGGGCTGGCCACAGACGTCTACGAGCGAGGCTACCAGCGGCAGGACGCGGAGCAGAAGATCCCGGTGAGGTGGATGGCGCCGGAGAGGCTGCTGCGGGAGGGAAGGTACACCAGCAAGAGCGACGTGTGAGTACTATCATATTTGCTTTGGGCCTGCCGCCTGGTCAGATTTGTCCTACGATCGTCGTAGGATAGGATTGCGAAGTCCTCTTTGCATTTATTGTTACATAAAAGATTTTTGCAGACCGTTGGTTCTGTCTGCTATTGTAAATCCAACGAATAAAAATCGCACAATGATTTTGCTAGATGACCATGAACATTGGTTTTAAATTATCTCCAAGTAGATCCTACGGTGCCACCGTAGAATCTGCTTGATAGGATACTGTACTGGCTACGCTTTGGAGATGACACCCCGTGATATTGTCAGTGTAAACATGTAAGATTGTTGAAAACCATAAAGTTGACCCTTATGCTCTACCCTTAGCTGGTCGTTCGGTGTGGTTGTGTACGAGATCGCGACGCTGGGAAACGTGCCGTACCCGGGCCTGGACCGGCAGCTGATGGAGGAGCTACGCGGCGGCTACCGGGAACCCAGACCCGAGGACTGCCCTCAGGAGATGTACGTATCTATACACTAGTGATTTGTAGTGATAGTAGAATCTGTACCCGTATAACTGTCCTTGGCCTTCTGGCACGCAGCTGGTTTTATTACGCTGAACGACGTAATAAATTTGCACACCTAACTGCAAGCGTTGTTTATAGCTTTCTAGTGATGATGGCCATACTGTACTTGCTATCAACGAGTTCCACTCTTTAATATTTCTATGAAGAAAGAGTTTTCGAACATGCGATTTACCATCATCCTGGAACCATTTCCACCAGACGATACAAAGAATAACGCAACAAACCTGTCAAATTTTTCGTATTTCAAATTTTCGTCTACATAATGTATTGTAATGCCCCATAGGTATGCCTTGATGCTCAGTGCTGGCAATGGCAGGAGTTCCAACAGCTCTTATTATAGATCGTACATGTATAATAAACTGGACAATGTTAAACTACAGTTTTAAATATAATAGTACGTTTGTTGCACCCTACACACAGGTACGACCTAATGTTAAAATGCTGGCAATGGGAGGAAGACGATCGCCCGGAGTTTCAGCAGTTGTACGATCAGCTGGATGACCTGATGGCGGACTGTTCTGAGGTCAGCTACCTGGAACCTTTTGGTGACCCTGATGAGGCAACGGCAGTAGAAGCTCCCGAAGGTGTCTGAATGCAGTGCAACATTTTGTCTAGCCTCCATAGCATGCCAAAAGCTGGGAGTTTTGGGGGTCTTTGAGATCTTTCATGTGCTATTTTCTGATTGCATATAGACAACATAGCCGGGCTGGTTGAATTACCCCCGTTTTTTAGAACTGGGCTAATCAGAAAACAGCTGAAGACCACCAAACCCCCAGTTCTATAGGCCTGCTACGGAGGCTAATCAGAAAACAGCCGAAGACCACCAGACCCCCAGCTCTATAAGCCTGCTACGGAGGCTAATCAGAAAACAGCCGAAGACCACCAAACCCCCAGTTCTATAAGCCTGCTACGGAGGCTAATCAGAAAACAGCCGAAGACCACCAAACCCCCAGTTCTATAAGCCTGCTACGGAGGCTACATTTTGTCCGTCCCGAGAGTTTTTACTAGCCAATGGAAAGCGCCCCCTTGTGAGCAGAAGTATCATTGCAGTAATGGACGTACATTGTATTCAGTGTTAAATAAAGGTGCTCATCAAAAAGCTTTACTTGTTTTCGACATCTAGTCTCAATAATATCAGTAAAATGCTAATAATAATACCAACAAAGAAAATATGACAGCTGTCAGAACGATTTCAATATTTTGACATCGACTGACAGACTTTATGCAACTTAATGTGATATATCTCTATTAAATAGAGCCGTAGGATAGTCATAGGTGATATTACTTTAGATACGTATAAGTGAAATTAATTTTGATGAAATGCTAGGTGTAACTAGAAAAGTAACATTTGCAAAGTAAATGCATAATGTTTACCTTCGGATATAGTCTGCTCTGTTAATTCTTACTCAAACACATTCACATACGTGTATATGGTGACAGGAGTCTAAATGCCTACTATGAAATTGCCACATTGTGTGCGTGTCACATTGTGTAACCCGACACCAGTTACTATGGTGACAGACGTAAACAAAAGAGGCCATTGGCCAGGTCAGAGGTTTGTGTTTGGAGAAGAAGAAATGGAGCAAAAACAATGTTTTCCTTCGGTAAACATAATAAAAATATGGTTTTAGAGAAACCTTGTTACTGGTTTTGTCTGCTTATGTTTGCCAATAGTGTTTTGTCAACAATGTAATATTCTGCTGACTATGCACAACTAGTTGGCTCCAAAATACTATGTAAAGTTTAAGTACTTTTATTTAAGATTTAACTTAGTACCACTGAATTTCAATATTTTATCAATGTAATATACATTCGTGAATCATTGTAATTTTATTGATAGGTGATGCAACATAATTTTCCACATTTTATGTTAATTAGCAAAGATATTTCAGACACCACTTCATGTTGTACGTCTGCTATTTGCTAATTAAGTCATATCGTACATGAACCAGTGCAGTTAGACATCAGAAACACCTACACTAACCTGCATATGTGGGTGGCATTTTGCGCCATGAGATTGAATTTAAGTGTGGATACTGAGTGGGTAACGTTGATGAAGGTTAGACATCCAGGTAAACAATACTCAAAAGGAAATTCAAACTCTACTACTGGATTTTGATGCAAATTTAAAAAGTTGCAAGCTTGTAAATATATATGTCCGTAATGTTGACCACTTGCTAAAATTCTTTATGTAAATTGGTTTTTAATTCAGTCTCTGTAAACTTTGATAAACCAATATAGTCGTATGGTATCGGATAAATTAGAGATACTTTCCAATGACATCTACCACTCTTCTTCAGCTTCAGAGTTTGAATTTCCTTTGTGTTAGTAGGCTAGTGTGCGAATAGGCAAGAAAGATATGAGACCAGGTTGATTCCAATACAATAAATATGTATTCATAAATAATGAAAAAATGTCATGTACAATTGGTGATCATGTCTGGTTGATCAAGAGTCGTACACACTCATTTTGTGCAACCCATTTCATAAATCGTGACATTTGGGAGACGAGAGAATGCCGAAAACGACAGTTTCTCAACTTTCTCCCGTTTTTTTTTCTTAAGAAATCATCAAAGTCTTTTTCACTATAGCCTGAGGAGCGATGGTTCAAACCGAACGGTAGAAAAACGAAAAAAGATCGGGTCCACACTACTTGTAACTTCAAGTATACAAATATATCTATACAAGAAAAACTTTTCTAGCATCTTCCAACTATAATACAGGCCCACTTTAACGTTCTAATGTATCTGTTTTTTCTCACTTTATACACTACCACAACAAAACGGAATTCACAACGGAAACATCCTACATACCAACACTGTATCACACTTGTATAAAAGCTCTCGTGTTGTGGGCACGGAGAGATACTGGTATATAAATATACAAAGACTTGTCGTAGTCGATGATCGATTTTTTGCAAAAAAATGGGACATTTCAAAATTTACAAGACAGGTAACGTCAGCATCTTTTCTTCTTTCTTCTCTTTCGTAGGTTAACTAAGTTCATAACTCGGCGGAACTTTTGCCGCCGAATATCTGTACAGCCAGGTTTGCATAGTTGGGGCGGACTTGTCCGTTTTTCTTGATCCTCCGCGGGAATTTGTCTCTCTTTCTTCTTCGCTATTCACATAAAAAGTTTCTGTCTCTCGCGTGTCTCTCTGTGTGTGTCGAGTATAGCCCTCCGGTACCGCAGAACAGCATGCTGGGAAAGGTCAAGGGTCGGTGATGATGCCGGGGGTCGCCCGAGGTCATGAGGAGCTCTGGGAAGACGATTCTGGCAATGCCTGGAAAAACAAAAAAAAATCAAAATTTGTCAACTTCAAGAAAAAAAAAAATCATTCTTAGTATACATCTTAGATGTGTTTATTTTTCCTTGGAATACAAAGTTTGTCAGACATGTAGTAGCCGAAAAATTACTGCTCTGTTTCTTCTTACTATATATATGGTGACCAACCAGCCCCTAAACCTCTGTCCTGCCACTTGCTACATAATGTAATCCAATATGGTGTCTGCTACAGCACCAGTTACCATAGTGACAGCCACCTGGTCCAGGTCATGTAACTTAATATCTGTTTGGAGAAGATATCAAAAACAGAGCAAAACCAATGTTTTCCTTCCGTGAAGCTAAGCATAAGCAAAAAAAAAAAAAAACAACAAAATGTTTTCCTTCCACGAAGGTTAACATAAAAATGAACTCCTCACCAGTTGGAAGTTGTCGAAGACGTCAGCCAGGTCGTCGAGCTTGTACTGCTGCAGCACGGCGAAGCCCTCCAGCCGACCACTGGCCTTCCGCGCACAGTCGAGGCAGTGCACAATGTGCTTCTTATCCTGCTTCAGCACAAACAGGAGGTTGAACACCTCCACCTGTAAACACAAACAAACAAACAAACATACATGTCATTTTAGTACACAGTAGAGTGGATTCATTCCTCAAGCTAACTGACATCTTTCACACTGCAGTCATCCCTCAGTAAGAGTTCATAGTTCCCGTTTGGAGCATTTATTCAACTGTCACAAATGCTTTCCATGTCCAATGTCATGTCTTTGTAAGGCCACACCAAGTAAATTTTATGGATGACGTCCACACGCGCATTGATTTTGGCCTGTTCCTAGAAAAAAACAAGAAATTCCGCTTCCTGTAACTATGACCAAAGAGTCACAACAGTGCCGCAAATCGTTAGATTGACGTGAAACCCGTAATGCGAAATGGGTAAAGAGCAGCCACGAGCACATGCTTTGTTTCTGCAGGCCTGCAAAAATGTGATGAAAGAAACAGGACAGGACGACAACTGCTGTTCCACCTTATTTATTGCTGTTTTGATGATGAATAAAAGACTTCTTGCTTGTTACACTGTGTCACCTCATTCAATTTGTGTCCTAACATTTGTCGTCTCTTAGTATATTTCTAATCTAGGCATCTTGTTTTTTAGGGCCCTTCTTGTTTTTTTTTCGCCCTCTCGCATTAGATTTAGGGTCTCCAAAGGACGTCATCCATAAAATTTAATTGGTGTGGCCTAAGCAGGGTTAGCCCTTTACAACTGTCACAGGCTAGTTGGACTGCCCTGGCAGTGCATGTTGAACAGCCAAACCAATGAATAAATAAACAAATGTTTCTCTGTCACTGAAAATGGTGTCCGAAGCTCTCTGAAACGTCTGACAAAACCAATGAGAAGCTGTAGTGCTAGTTAGCATTCCTCTCTTGGTAACTTGAGCATAATAAATAATGGCTTGAACAAACAAACAAACAGACATTCAAACAAACCCACCTCACAGTCGACGCAGTAGTGAGCCACCTCGTCCTTCTGCCGGCCGTGCCAGTGGACCTCGTGGCCGAGAGATTTCACCAGGTCCAGCGTCACCTGCATCTGCCGCATGGTCTTCATTAGGGTGTACCTGAGGACAGGACACAGGGAGGGTTAGATATGGGGCATTCAACACTTAAGAAACTTTAAGATCATGTAGACTCAAGCTAGTGCTGTAGTCGGGATGACAGGAACAGTCTAAGACATTTGGCAAAGTTATTTAAGAAGTCATCAAGGTTGTTCACTGTAACTGTTTAAGTCTATCAAAGTCTTAGGTTTTCAGCTAAAATGTTTGGAGGCAATTTTCTTAGTTTCTAGTACAGCTGTACAATACGACATTCTTTAGTACACAGGCGTCTTGAACAACAAAACCTTCACAAATTTGAGATGACAGATCTTTTTTTCTCATTCAAATCCTAGAATTGCTGGCCAAGTTTTAACTTATGAAAAATATTTGACTCTAGTTAAAAGCAAAACCTTTGTTTTGTTTTTGTTGCAAAGGTGGTAACACCTGTTCTACCATACTCTCCATTGTTGTGGTAAAGCATAGTAAATAAACAAACAAACAAACAACACGTACTTGAGCCTTTCGTAGAGCTCTCTGTCGGAGACCTTCAGGTTTCGCGCCATCTGCCAGGAGAGGTGCACCATGGGTACGATGGACTTGACGCTCTGGAGCTTGTTCCACTCGTAGCGCTCGGCCGCAAGTTTGTACTGGTGTGCCGTGAGCGGGCCCACGTTCCACGCTATGTTATTGCACCAACCCTGGAGGGAAAATGCAGAAAAAACTGTCAGAAAAGACACATGAAAACACACGAAACTGTTAGATGGGGAAACATAATGAGTTTGTACTGGTGTGCCGTGAGAGGGCCCAGTTCCACGCTATATAAGTGCACCAACCCTGGGGGGAAAACACAATACTGTCAAATTGAGTAATTCTTTCTAATACTTGAATGACTGAGGATGACCTGCACACAGTAAATTGCTCCTCTGAACAAGGTCTGCCTGTTTCTGAACTAAAAACTGGCAACAACTTTCGAATGCACTATCTTAAAGGGACCAAAGTTGCACCCCACTAGCATCCATAAACATTATACAAATTTGGCAAGTGAACCAGGCTCCAGTTTTAATTTTTGCAAAAATCTAGCCCTCAACAAAGCAAATTACAGGGATAGGAAGTAGACTTAAATCCAATGCACAAGGCCTTGGTTCACACACACCATTAAAAATTTGGTACACAAAGAAATAAGCAGTCAAAACCAATTTGCAAGCAAAATTGTGGATCGTAGCAAGTGAAAATGTGAGATGACAAAAGCAACTGAAAGAATATTACTACTAAGTCAACTTACGATGGCCTGCACCCAGTGCACACAGCCAGCGTTGACCCAGACCATGTCTCCTGGCCGCTGGATAAATCTGTAGACAGGAACGTTGTCCTCATACAGATCCTCCAGAACCGGCCACCACGAACCAGTCAGGTAGTTGATGTTTGCTCTGAGGGAAAACAAAAATGAACAAAATGTCAGTATTTCAATTCCGGAAATGCCTCAGCTATGTTTAATACACCAATATTCACATTCTAAAAATGCCTCAGAAGTGTTTAAACGTATCAAATAACTACTTGAAAAGTAATTTTCCGGGTCAAATGACACATGTTGATGGGTGTTCTTCCTCTCCAAAATAAAATTCTCATAATTCTTCAAAATGACACAATTTGGGGCTAGCTAAACGGGGAATTTGAGATATTGCCAATATTGTATATGTCTGCTATTTGCTAGTAAATTCTCTTCTTTTTTAACCATTGTACAATGACTTTTTAATTATGCAAATTTTAATATGCTTGGAATCTATTTGTAAAATTTCAATGAAATTCAGTTGTGTCTGAAGAGATTCAACACTTCTGCAAATTTGAATTTAAATAAAGATTTGATTTGATTTTTAGAGCAGTACGTCAGAAGAAACTTGACTCACTTTTCACACTGGTTGTGGATGGCTCCCCAGTACGGCTCCGGTACTCCGAACCACTCGCAGTCACCAGGACCAATGTTTATGTTTACCGAGTTGTAGTTGTTGTTCTCCTGGTGACCTACAGTAAACAATAACAACAACAACAACAACAACATTACAAACATGCTCTGTTCAACGTTTCAACCACAAAATGTGAAGGAATCTATATTGAGAATATCACACTCAAACAATGTACAGACTGAAAGAATGCTATACCAAGAAAGCTCATGATAATTTCATCAGCTTGGTGAATGTCAACGCAAATTACATTTCTTTATTCACAACCACTTGTTTAACATGAGCCAAAGAAACCAAGAAAGGCAAGTCTTTCCCTGAATTTCAAGGGTTATCTACAGACTTTTTGCTTCTTTGCTGTGTCTTTCACACATTTATGAAAATTGATAGCTACAATCACGTCAGCTATAACCCACAATCAGTTTGGGATGAACAGACAAGAAGCCGTAGAAATCCTACTAAATTTCGGAAAAATTTGTCTGTGTAAAAGTTGCTAAATTGGATATTGTGTGACTGTAGAGTATTTACCTGGCGTTCTGGAGCCCGGCACCTTCATGTACAACTGTACTGTGTTCATCCCCAGGATGGTGTGTCCCACGTGGCTCAGGCTGTTACTAGCAGACACAACCTACAGAAGGCAATAACATACATCAGCACTGTAACATTTAATCGACTGTTACTGGCAGACACAACCTAAAGAAGGTATAACATACATCAGCATGGGAACCTCAAGGATACATGTTGGGCCCACATTAACCCAACCTACAATTTGAAACAACCTACATTAGCAAAGTAGCATTTAATCAATCAGTCCTAGCGTTACCAGCTAATATAGCCAACAATTGGTAACAAGTACTTAAGAGGTGCTGTGAATTCCTTGTTTTATATTCATTGTTGTGAATTTCACAAAGACTCCATATGGATTCATTGTCCACTGTCAGGCACATGCAATCAAGTTCTCGAGTTCCTGCAGTGCATAATTTACTTCCTCCATTTTGACCGCAAATTTGAGCTTCGAGTCAGTTAATTATGTATAACCATTTCTTTCTTCTGGTCACCATTCTGTATTTAAGCTAAGGCTGCACTAGCAAACAAACACACTAATAACAAAACATCTCTGCATGAAGGTAATGAAAGATGAACTTACCCTGACGAAGTGAGGCAGTTTGGTCAGCTCCTGCAGCTGTGCTTTCCACTTCTTCTCGTCAGAAAGGTCCACGTTGGTCCCGAACTTGATCATCTTGAACCCGTTCTTCTTCTTTCTTCTGTTAGATACACAAAACCTTAGGTTAGAGATCAATTAACTCCAATAAAGTTCTTTCCACTTATTTCACAGACCCATACCAGAAGATACAATACCTTACAATAACCAAATGAAAAGGAATTAACCTAGACCGGATATGTTAATGAAAGACAAAAAAAGTGTTCCAAATACAGAAGACAAAAAAAGTTCACTTCAACTTTTTATATTCTCCCTGCTGCCTAAACCTTAACACATATAGAGAATCGGTACCCATACAGCTACTTCAGTGCACTGAAGATTGTTTTATTCAATAAGGAAGTACAGTGCAAATGTCTATTATGCATATTATCCATTATGAAACAGAAGACTTACCCCAGTGTACTGTTGGAGGAAGAGTCACTGTCTGACGGGTCTTTCGTCCCCAACTTTTCCTCACGTTCTTCCTGTAAGGTGGACAAAAAATTAGGTTAGATTTCTGACAATGTTAGCTGTTGTGTTACGCCAAATGGCAGTTATACTGGCTACACAGATACAGCCTGGTACTGCAGGTATTTGCTGATGGAGGTGTGGGGAAATGCAAGCAAACTCACACACACACACACACACACACACACACACACACACAAACACTCACACACACACACACATGCACACACACACATTTACACACACGCACACATGTACACACATTCACACACACGCACGTACACACACACACACTCACACACACACACACACGCATGCACACACACACACACTCTCACACACACACACACACACACACATATGAAAGTGTGAAAGCCTTCTTACCCTGAGACTCTCCTGGAAGGACGAGGCCTGGTACTGTGCATACTTGCTGATGGAGGTGTACGATCGATGGCTCTCACATCTCCAGACTTTCTGTCTCGATACCGGGTCCCAGTTCTCGTCAGAAGCCTGAAGAATCTGCACACACACGGGGAAGACAGTTGAGTTGTGTGAAGTACATATTTAGGTGCCTCATAGTAACACACATCTGTTACATAGTGAGTGAGTGAGTAAGCAAGTGAGCATAATACTGATCTCCAGAGAACAAATTTTTTCTGTGTCCGAACCTTCACCTGGTAGTGCTTTTAATTAGCACATCTGTAATACGCGAATGAGTGTGTGTGTATGAGTGTAACACTGATTTCTATGGGGTGAAATTTTCCCTACCTGTGTCCTAACCTCCACCTGGTGGTCTCCGTTTGCCTCCACCAGGGTTTTCGTGGAGAAGAGCCCGAGGTCGAGCTTGAGCGCGGCCGCTAGTCCCCGTACCACGGCGATCGGAACGTTCGGGGACTGCAGGTAGTCCTGTAACGCTGGCGAGAAGGCATCTTTTTTGTTTTCAATCTGGGGAGAAAAAGGAGACACAACGATGTTAAGTTTCGCAGTCCAGACTATTGTGACAGACCAAAGTTGCCAGAGAAAGAGGAGATTACAAATTCAGCCTTCTGTTTTCCATTAGTGACAACTCTCCTAATTACCTGTCATAGTATAAATGACATTTCAAATGACTTGTACAGGCCGAATACAGTTCGAAAAAGGAACTATGCAGCTCCAGATGTCTTACTGAGGGACGACTGTGCGTGCAAGATGTCGGTTAGCTTGAGGAATGAATCCCCAACTACTATGTATGCCCTCTTTCAAATGACGTTAAATTCAAAACACACTGGTTATGGTTTCAAACATGGAGCCTCTATACGGCCCACGAAATCAAAGAATCGTTCTTCAAGTATATAGACATGATATATAGGTATAGTTGGTGTACTCACATATATACTGGGTGTGGGGGGGTTGAGCTTGTCCTTGGGCAGGGGTGGGTAGGGTGGCTCGGGCGGGCAGGGTGGCTTGTCCCGGTCGAACAGAATACTGTTGTTACTGAGTCCGTTCATGCCCAGGAGTTTGCACGTGGCCAGCACCGTCTTCGCGTTTGCATAGATCAGCCTCCGCGGCGAACACAGCGACTCTTCCAGCTTGTGGTTCAAGGGAGCGACTGTGTTGATTTTTAAGGGCTTTTCCGGTGGCGGGCCAACGTGGTTCTGTTGTGGCGGTGGTGGTTCGTTCGGGACGTGATTGTGTGAGGCGGTGACGGACGGGCTGGGGTGATGATTGTTCGACGGCGATGATGATGAATTTGCGACTACGGGCGAAACTTCCTCGTTCGCGCTGCCCTTTCTCTCGAGTTTCGGGAAGGTCGATCTGGAATGGCCGTTGTTGTTTGCTGGCGGTGAGGTAACGTGATTCGATGAACTCTGACCTACGAACTGCGAATGCGAGGGGTTAAAGTTCGACGATGAAGAGAAGAGGGCGGGGGACGAGCTAGCGACAGGGGGAGGGGTCTTGAACGTATCGACGCTGTTTTCGACAACGGGACCGTTTGACAAACCGTGGCCGGATGTACCCGGGGATAGTCGAGTAGCGTTCACTGTGCTCGTTGCCATGTGATTGGACTCTGCGTGAGTTCTGTGGGGCTCGACTCTACTCTGCGGTGGTAACCTGGGTGACGACGACAACGCATCGTTCATGGTTGCCATGCCGATGGGCGTTGCCGTGGAAGGCCCCGCCCGGTTACCACCAACCGGATGATGATGAGCACCAGAGTTCAGATTTCCGATTGCCGAAGACGGGGAAAAGCGTCCTGCAGAGGAGGCAACACCTGAGGTAGCGAGACTGGGGAGGACACCTGTGAATGAATGAATAAATGAATGAATAAATGTTTTATTTATTAACTAAACTAAAATTTTACTAGAATTACAGACCAAGAAATAACTATTCTTCTTTTAACTTCCCAAAACCCACTAATTTTAGAAAAGGTGGGACATTACGTCTTCCATCGTCTAAAAAACGATAATTGCCCTATAGTTGTCACTATATTGTCATATACCTTAATATGTTATAGTTTGTTGTCAGTTGACTTGAATGTCTATTTTTGTATCATTACTGTTTTAGTGTGTATTTTGTATGTGGAGAGACAACTGGCAGAGGTGCAATTATGCACCTGTTTTGTCTCTCCTCTATGCTACCTGCTGTTGCATTGGAAAGTCTAATAAATAAATAAATAATAAATAAAAGTGAACAGGTAAACGTAACAAGGAAAGAGTAGAACTAAACAGAACCAACCTGTGTTACCTTGGTAACCCTTCAAGGTCAGCGGGTTCAGCATCCCTCTCCCTCCCGGGGGGCTGAGAATGGTCTGGTCCCCGTTGACCCGTTGTAAGGTCGCGGGGTTGTTGTTGTTGCCGGGGGCAACGACGGGGAATGTTCTTTGATTGACGCCGTTACTACTAGTGTTTTCCGCCGCTGCTGCTACGTTCTGAGGTAGGATTCCTCCGAATGAACCTTGCTGAAAAGGCACATTTGGGCTGTTGTTGTTGTTGTTCCCGGTCATCGTCGTGGAAACGGTTGCCATGGTTGCAGAGAGCGCGGCGCGGTGGTCTGCCATGTTGGGTAACGTGCTGCGGTGCTGCTGCTGTTGCACCATGGGATTGGGCGTCAGCGTGTTAACGGCAGGCGGTTGTTGGTTGCTGAGACTGTTGTTGCTCGCTGAGGTAGAGTTGAACGGAAACTGTCCCGGGATGTTACCAAACGTTGTGGGGCTGGGGAACCCGGGGTTGTTGTGGGGGGGTGGGACACGAGGAGGGGGGTTGTTGGGGCCAGCCCCCTTGTGTGGGTAGGGAGGGGGAGGGCCGAGGGAGGCTGAGGGGGGTGGAGGGCCGTTAGGGGGGTGCCTGTTCATCTCGTGCTGCTGTTGGAGGTTGTACTGATGCTCCAGCTGCTCCAGGACTAACAACTGACTGGGGTTCAGCGTGGCACGGGTCTGTATGGAGGGGTACAGAAACAGGGGGTTAAGGTACAGGCTTGTTTCAAATTGTATCACGCTGTGTATTGTGTTCATACATATTCACCAGAGTAAACCAAGATGGAACTTACACAAAACAAGATGAAGTAAATCCAGGACCTGTACAATTGAATTGACCAACTCTACATAAGGCCCACTTGGCATGTCTAAATGAAAGACTTTTTGGTGGTCCCTTACACAATTTTGCCCATTGACACAGTCACTAGTAATTCATCTCGTATTTATCAAATTATACTTATCAACTCTGTACAGAAATGTGCAATAAATGTCTCGATTTATCCATTAACAACAATAATATTGTTCCAGAATATGAATTTTCCCCAAAAGTGAAAGTGGTGAAAGTCCTTGTGTCTCACCTGTTTGAGGTGCCTGAGCAGGGACACCTGCTGGGGTTTCAGGTAGAAGGAGGGAGGGGGTGCTCCGTGGGGGGGTACGGGACCCTGCGGTGCAGGGGGGGAGGACTGGGATGGTCCACCGGCAGGGGGGGTCCACGTGGCCGTCGCAATGTCACCGGAAGACTGGCAGGGAAAAAAAATCAGAAACGGAATGGGTTAGTACAAGTTGTTGCTGAAGAGTATGCAAACAGAAAAACTAAACTTAAACTTAAGAAGTAACTAACAACATGTAGATGATACAAAATACAATTATACATGAATTGGTACTGATAAATTCTCTAAAAACAGTCACACAATCCAGATAGCATTTTCTACCTTTGGATAACAGTGACCAAGAATGAGTCAGAAAACAAGTGTAACCCGTAGAAAACTACACAATTCTTTACTATTGTTTGCTTTTGCAACTTGAAGAAACAATCTTCACTCTTGATTTGCACATTACAACGATTATTAAATAGACTGCACATTTGGTTATACATATTGTGCTGCTTTCAGACTGTATCCAATGCACTGTTTTTTTGCTTCAAAGGCTGTTAAGTATATATAATTTTGTGATGCGTCATGGATTCCAGATTCCAACAACCATATTCCTTTGCCTACTAGGCTACAGCTCTAATAATTGACTGCTTTGACATTTAGGCAGCCAAGGATGGAGAAATTGACGTACCATATTCCTTCTCCTCTTGGCTGCGCTGCCTTCGAAGGCTGCACAGTATTTATGTTTGTTATCTGTCATAATTTTTGCCTCCACCTACCATATTCCTTCTCCTCACTTTGTCTGTGTCCTCTCATTTGTTTTCACTACTGTTTTTCAAAATAAAAAAAGAAAAAAAAAATGACCCACCATATTCCTTCTCCTCTTGGCTGCGCTGCCTTCGAAGGCGTTGCTGTGGAGTTGCATGCTGGGCTGCGGCGGCGGCATGGCGCCCGTCAGGTTGCCAGGCAACCCGGGAGGATTGACCAATCCCAGAGCCTCGCCCCCCGGGCCGCGGAGGTGCGCAATGTTCCGCTGTAGCGCGCCCTGACGAGACGTGAGCTCGGCAGGGATGGGTAAGGTCCACGCCTCCTCAATACTCGGCAGGATTTTTTGTCTGGGAGAAAGAAACGACAAATAAGATACTGACGTTCACGACAATCCATCAATCGATATATCCTCCTTGAAATATTTTTCAACAAACGCCCCTGCAGTTCCAGGGCAAGCAGTTAGGGGGCTCAAACTCAAGTCAGCACAAGAGCTATCTACCATGTAAATGTTGTGCTTGTCTGGAGGAAAGAAACAACAAAGAAGATATAGACGTTGCAATTCACCTTGCTATACTTTGTTGCAGTTTTTATCTATTGTAATGGCCACACAAAGTACTGTTTCTTTGTTACAAAGTGTCTACCCTGACAACAGAAATGAAACAAGATACTGACAATAAATAAACTCTACTCTTTCAGAAAAGTTGAAACAGCAAAACTAGCATCATTCCCTTAATTTCAACATTGTTTTCACCTAAATTTATCATCTAATACTGCTATATTTTAGTAAACCTTTTCCACTTTTCCATTCATTTGGCAAGAATATAATGTTAAGACTTTAGAAGAATACAATCTTGAGACTCTAGAGAAAAAGTAACAGTACAAGGTAGGGTTTACTACAAGAGAAGAACTTACTTGTTCTGCATGTGAGGAGGAGGCATGTTGCTAAGCTGGGCCTGTAGGGCCTTCACCCGGTCGGTTAGCTGGGGACTGGGCGAATCTGGGGGGGAAAGGCACGCATCACAGTCAGGGTTTGTTACAATTACATGAACTGCTACAACTGTTGCTCTTTCTTGATACAACATATATACAACAAACAGCTACAAAAATGTAGCACATGAAAGACAACATTTTCTGTTTAATGTAAACTTTTATTGCTACACTTTATACCAAAGTCAGAGCCAACAACTGTGGCGACTCATTGCTACATCACATGTAGCCATTCCCTACTTTTACAACCAACTGAGCTACACTTTTTATTCCTTCCATTTACGACAAACTGTAGCAATTCTTTGCTACATCAAAAGTGGCAGTTCCTTACTTTTACTGTTTGCTGCGTGGATGTAGCAGGTCAGGGCGTCCCTGGGCTGCTGACATGCCTCATACAGGATGCCCAGGTCCGTCCAGGCTGCCGTGTGTGAGCGGTCTAGCTGTACCGCACAGATGTACGCCTGCAGTGCATCCATTGGCTGGTTCTGTTGCTGGTACAGAACGCTGGGGGATAGGAGAAAGTGAGTTTACTTCAACTGGAAAAACGTTTTTGATGTACAGGTGTCAGAAAGTGCAAATTACAGTGCATATTGAGGCAGAAGAAAAACAACTAAGATAACTTTGATGCTAATGAAACCCTCTAAATATTTTTTTAAAAGTAAAGCTAGCATTGACTGTAAAGAAACTCCAAAATGCAGCTATTGCTTCGAACATTTCTTTCTTACACTAGCTAATCTTACAGCTACCATGCACTTACTTTTCTATTCACTTAAATTTTATGCCTTGCCATCTTAGGACTCTATAGATGAATGCTTAAGGACCTAACCTTATGTCTTTAGATATACATAAGAAGCTTTCCTTACCCAATGGAGCACCAGGTGTCAGCGCTTGCCTCCGTCTTGTCGATTGAGTGACGGTACGAGAGAAAAGCATCATGCACCTTCCCCACACTGGAAAAGCACCTAAAAAACAACAAAACATAATGTGATGAAATCTGTAGTATGGCAATAAACTGCAAGGTGGCATGATAGGAAATGTGTATCTCCTCAACACTGGAAAAGCACATGACAAATCATGCACTGTAAGATATGCAGTAATGTAATAATGTGCAAGGTAGCAGAACTTGCAAACACTGTCCACCATGCTGGAGTTACAATCATACTATTGAGATAACCTGCACAGGCTTAATGCCATCAAACACACCTCAATGTTATGATTACAATCCTGCAGTACCGGTGAATCCTGCAAGGAGGCATTGTACACCAGTACATCCAAGCTGGAAACTTTGTATTCAGTGCCAGAATCGTTATGAAAACTAAATGATATCAACCCCTGTAGCAATAATGGTATCTTCCAACTGGTAACAGTTTCTAGTAGGCTACAGGACTGATCCATTGGGTAAACAGGGGTGTCGTACCTTCCTAGGAAGTACCAGGACTGTCCGTTGTCAGGGTCGGCCTCGATGGATTTCTGCAGGCACTGGATGGCCTGTGCCTCGCGACTGGCCTTGTCTCCAAAACTGTCACCAGCGATGTGGTGCATCCAGCCTGAATAAACAAACAAACAAACAAACAACAAACATTAGTGTCGTCGATGAAGTTTAGACATCCAGGTAATAAGATACACCAAAAAGCAGTTGCTCAAGCAACTGGATATGATTTTAGAAACAGTCAGATATTTCAGGTAGCATCCACTAGCTTTCGTCAGTGACTGAGAAACCAGCCTAAACAAACAAACAAACAAACATTAGTGTCAACAACAACTTTGGAGCAGCCCTGTCTTAAAAACTAATACTAGTAACTAGTGGTAGACCCTTAAGTATAAAACTGCAACAGCAAAAACGAAGTATCAAATAGATCATTGCTACATTCAAAATGAAAAGTCACAACTTGTTGCAAATGTCACCAACAATGATACATTTGGCCTAAGGTACAAGAATTAAGGGAAAGGCCTTCTAGTGGGATTGACCAAGGTTCAAAGAGTTCCATGTTAAACAACAACTAACCACAGAGTTTGACAAAACACAGTTGACAGTACAAGTAATATGGTCTTCTGAGAAACATGGAAAAGACACTTTCACACCAGAAGAACACAGTTCTATGTAACCAGCTCTGAAACCCCTGACTGTTTGTATGTCAGCTGTCATATTCAATTTTCCACTGGCTTAACATGTCATTAAGTACATTCATCATGCAATTAGTCAATGACAGCTTCTTTCTGATCTAGACATGACGCATTAGACTTCAGAAAAACAAAAAAAACTTTGGCTTGCTTGGTATACTAGTGGTACATGTGACACCGGCAAGTGTATCAAAATCAAGAAGTAATTTTTCTTTAATTTAACAACTGGTAAAAGGGCAACCCTTCTCAAATCTACAGACAAGAGGTTATATTCAATACTGGGAAAGACATTAATCATATAATTTGAAGGTTTTTCTTGACATGCAACACCAATTAATATTGTAGCAAGTTCTCTTTTATTCAGATACCGGGACTTGGAAACTTATACCATAGCTTTGGTTGGCATTTCTTTCAAGTACATAGCAAGAAGATGAATCTTTGTGTGGGATTTAAGGTTTCTTACTTGTTTTTACAAATGACTTAACATTTCTGCCCTGAGGGGTTCACACCCGAACATACGCCGACCATCTGTTCATATATCATAAGTGTCCAGGTGTGTTTATGTTTGTCACCTGTTACAGTTTCATTTCTGATCACTGGTGTGGAAGACTCTACGTCAAAAGAATTCCATCAAACAATTATATGAACAAAAAAACTATGAGGTCAGGGTCAATATATGATTGAAGTTGTCAGAAAAATAGCATCATATTGTGTATGAAAGTCTTTGTTGAAAAAATGTAACAGTTGGTAGATATAAAGTTTGTCACCTGTTAGAGTGTCATTTTTGATCACTGGTGTGGAAGACTCTACGTCAAAAGAATTCCTTCAAACAATTATATGTAAATGAACATAAAAACTATGAAGTCAAGGCCAATATATGATTGAAGTTGTCAGAAAAATAGCATCATTGTGTGTGTGTCTTTGTTGAAAAAGGCAACAGTTGGTAGATAAAAGTTTGTCGCCTGTTAGAGTCTCATTTCTGATCACTGGTGTGGAAGACTCTACCTCAAAAGAATTCCATCAAACAATTATATGATCACAATTACAAAAACTATGACTTCATGAACAAACTAGAGTAACAATTGATGATTGAGGTTGTCAAGAAAAATTGCATTATTGTGTTTGAAAGTCTTTGTTGAAAAATGTAACAGTTGGTATATATAAAGTTTGTCACCTGTTAGAGTATCATTTCTGATCACTGGACTGGAAGACTCTACGTCAAAAGAATTCCATCAAACAATTATATGAACAAAAAAACTATGAGGTCAGAGTTATATGATTGAAGTTGTAAGAAAAATAGCATCATTGTGCGTATGAAAGTCTTTGTTGAAAAAAGGAAACAGTTGGTAGATACAAAGTTTGTCACCTGTTAGAGTATCATTTCTGATCACTGGACTGGAAGACTCTACGTCAAAAGAATTCCATCAAACAATTATATGAACAAAAAAACTATGAGGTCAGGGTCAATATGTGATTTTAGTTGTCAGAAAAATTAGAATCATATTGTGTATGAAGGTCTTTGTTGAAATTTTAAGGTAACAGTTGGTACATACAGATTGTTTTTTCACTATGAACACAAAAACTATGAATTCAAGGCAAACTGTTGATTGAAGTTGTTAGAAAAATAGCATCATTGTGTGTGTGTCTTTGTTGAAAAATGTAACAGTTGGTACATACAGATTGTTTTTTGACTATGTGATGATTATAAGAACACAAAAACTATGAATTCAAGGCCAATTGATGATTGAAGTTTTCAGAAAAATTGCATCATATTGTGTATGAAGTTCTTTGTTGAAATATTAAGGTAACAGTTGGTAGATACAGAGTATTTTTTCTGGGAGTAGGACCATTGAATGTCAATAGAAATGCCATCAGACAGTTATACATTTTGAAAAGACAATGGCATCAAGGACAGCCGACAAAATTGTAATACTATACATAATAGTAATACTGTTATAGGTTGTGAAAGGCTTTGTTTTAAAAAAAAATGGGCACACATAACAGCTGGAATATGGAGTTTTTTTTTGGAGGTAAAGTAGGAAAATGTCAAATGCCAATCTGAATTCTATCAAAACATTATCTTTTAAAAGACTATGAGATTAGAGACCACTGACAATGACAGTTGTCACAAAAACACCACCATAGTTTTGTTGATACTAGTGCACCTTTAATTATTTTTCCTGTCCAAAAATACCTAAAAGATACCTAAAAGTACACTAGCTCTTACAGCAGCTGGTGTAAATATAGGTATTTTTGGACAGAAAAAATAACTTAAGCTGTCAGAGAATAAAAACAAGGGACAGAGGGGCAGAATCTACTACCAAATGAAATGTCACTTATTATCTCCTCTGGTCTCTTAGTGTCACTGACGTAAGGTAGTGGATGCTACCTGAAACGTCTGACCGTTTACCAAATCATATCCAGTTGCCTGGGTAACTGCTTTTTGGCATAAATATCACCAAAATTTAACTAAGAATCTTTCTGTGCATTCATCATTTTATTGCAGTAAAAAAAATCATATATGCTTCATCCAAGAGCAGTAATGTACTTTCCCCATTAGAAATATGAAATTAATTTGTTGTACTGACAATTTATATAAATCAAAAGGTGGGTATACAAAAGCACTGGTATAAAAGCATATTGCCTGGGGAATAAACCATCATTTTAGGACATTTCAAACCGTTTTAGACATCAAAGCCGACCAATCAGGCTTCAGCATGACCCGATTTCCCCTGACGGAGATCAAATTACACATCAAAGCAGGGGGCTGATCATTACTGCTATTATCATTCTACCTGGGGACAGTACATTACTGCTCTGGGATGACGCATTTGTCAAATTTTTGATTGGAAAGACTTGGTTCGTATAAAGCAGTTTTCTGGACAGTGTATGCCATTCTGTCATTTGATGAAATTTTGCTGCTTTCGACAGACATAAATTTTGCCCATCTTTAAATTTGACAGATATATGGAAAGTGATTCCATCAAATTAAGCTTAAAAGTCTACCATCAAATTTAGCCACTCAAAATGCAGTTAAATAGCATTTCAGAGGGTCAAAATTTCATACGTGTCTGTATATGTATTGTAATGTTAATGTTTATTTGTATCTACTGTGTACAAAATTGTAAAAATCAGTGTTATTCAGCTTGGTTGATTTGTGATATGGCTGCAAGGCTGATTTTATTTATAAAACTTAAAAACTTGAAAACTTGAAACCTGACCACTATGCTATGAAAAAATCCCGGTGAGAACCCTGCTTCTGTAAAGAGAATGACCACAATGATGCTGAATTATTCATCTCACATCCGCAGCCTCATCAGCTGTGACTCGGGGTCCTGGAGTCTGACCTCCGGGTGACCCCGCGTGTCCGGCCAACTTGCGCTAACCCCGGCTCAATCACGTCCCAACACTCCTGACGTAAAGCCTACACCGCATCAAAGAACCCCTACACTGTTTCGACACCTTTTCTATACAACCTAACAACATGTATTCTATAGAACCCAACACCTATATTCTATAGAACCTAATAAGTATTCTATAGAACCTAACACCAATTCTATAGAACCCCAACAGGTCTTCTATAGAACCTAACAACATGTATTCTATAGAACTCAACACGTATTCCAAAGAACCTAACACTTGTTCTATAGAACTCAGCTGTCTTCTATACAGCCCAACACTGGGTCAAAGGGAACTGGCACAATGGATGAATAATCAGCATGGTACATTACCCCCACTTCATAACATTTTGTGAAAACACTGAAAACCTGAGGTGTATAAAAAGTTGTACTTGCTACACAAAACCAATGATTATTACTGAAAAATTTGGTAGCAATTTCTTTACAGCAAGAAGTATACTGTCATACTGATGGGAACAAGTTTGAACTCTTTTATGCAGAACAATTTTTTTTGCAATGCAAAATTACTCAATTACAACTTCTTTTAAGCAAGGGCATTCACCTAGCTTTTGTAGGAAAAATTTAAAATCTTCTGCTGTAAAAGAATTTGTATTTGCAATACAAAATCAATGACCTTCACCAAAAATTCTGTAAGAGTGTAACATATTCTTTACACCAAGAAGTGTACTAACCAAGCTGTAGGGAAATAATGTAAAACATTTGTTACAATTCTAACACATTATCAACAATCTTTGTTACAGATTTTGTAGCGAATTGTTGCATACTGACCTAGCTGTCTGAGGGTGTTCGCCTTGACAGAAGCCGACGGGTTTTCCACCAGAATCTGCTCGTATGCCTCCTTAGCCTGCTTCAGCTTGTGCTGCAAGGAACGGAAAGGGAAAGTAAGGTAAGTACAAGGTAAGACACCTGTATTTTTCCTTTCAAAATCAATTTTTTTTAATGGAGTAGTTCAATGCAAGGCCTATACAACCACCTCTCTGCATTGACCTAGAAATATGAGAGAAACATGGCTATGTCAAGAGATGGTGGTGAACGTTTGATTTGAAAGCCTGTAGATTGTAGGTTGGTGGGAAACACTTGTCAGGGAGGGAATTCCAAACTAGATCTTTTTCAATTTCTTCCCATATGTGCAATCTGCATGGTCACAAGTTAACACAACTAAAGCTTAATTTTTCTTACTTTTGCCAAAAAATAGCTCTTAAGCAACTGGATATGATTTTGGAAACGGTCAGACATTTCAGGTAGTATCCACTACCTTTCATCAGTGGCGCATCTTATTACCTGGATATCTAACGTTCACTGACATTAAAGCTCTATCTTGTATGTATAATTTAGCCCACACTTCACTCTGAGATAGCTCTAAGTTGATTTAAGGCATATGTACAAGCGCCAATGATTTCAAAACTACACATATAATACAGCACACAAAAAATAAGCGTTCAACTCACCTGGATCTCAAATAGATGTGCTATGTGAAAGCGAACTGTAAAGAAAAAACAGAGAAACACACGTTACTAAAAATTGTACCAACAATTCTACTGTCAGAAAGTGCAAGTGATCTTGAGCCAGTTTAGCTCATTGAAGAGCTAATCTCCCACTGGTCGTGACAGAGAAGACAAAGGCTATGTACAGTATTTACAGGTTCATTGTACCGGGGAAATTCCCCTAGCTCTTTTCAACCAACACAGTGAAAAGTGGACCACGGCTTAACGTCCCGTCCTAAGGACTGCCACCCTAAACAGTATCAGATTTGCTTGATGTAGTATTACTAAGTCCTGTCTGTCCCGATTTCCAGACATAAGGAAGTGAACACATGTTACGTGGGCAGAGGAAATAAAAGAAAGACCATGTTTTGTCTCACTTGTCCAATTTTAGAAACAAAGCGCTGCCTTAAATAAGTTGATCTATTTGCGGTGACTTTTCAACAAAGAAGTGATTATCAAATTTAGATGTTTTGACTAGTACATGCCAATCTTAGAAACAATCCATTGCCTTCATTAGGCAGCATCGTTAGAAGCAATTTTTCAGGGAAAGAATAATTAACTAGAAAGGCCGACATTTGCTTGAGAGCAAATGCAGCAGATGGCTTCACCACATCCCCCATACCGAAAATGGATCTATCCTACGATGGCTGCCAATAGTCTACACCCCCATGCAGCAATGGAACCTTCCAATGCCGGAAATAGCCAAAAAGCCCTATTTTACATAACTTTAAAGTGGTGTATGTCAAAATCGAGAATGACATTCTTTGGACATGTGTCCAAGGTATCCCCATACCAAATTTCACAAACTGATTGCTTATTCCAATGCTGCACCGATTCTCACAGATTCCCCCATGATAGCTACTGACTTTCCCCTTTATTCCAGTGATTCATGTAAAGGTGGCAAGATAGCATCCCCTTGATAGTTACTGATCATCCCCTATATTCCAATAATACATGAAAGGAGGGCATCACAGATTCCCCCTGATGGTTACTGGCTCTCCCCCATATTCCAATAATACATGAGGAGGGGGCATCACAGAGTCCCTGCAATAGTTACTGATCCTCCCCCTATATTCCAATACATCTAAAGGGGGCATCGCAGATTCCCTCTGATAGTTAGTGACTCTCCCCTGTATCCTAGTAATACTGTACATGTAACCAGGACAGATTCCCCTATAATAGTTAGTGACTCTCCCCTGTATTCCACTAAGTAAACGGGGCATTACAAATTCCCCGTGATAGTTAGTGACTCTCCCCTATATCCCAGTAATACATGTAACCAGGACAGACAGCCTGGAGAGTTAGGAAGACAGATAGACTGTGTACAGAGGGGAGAACAGGGGGCCTGCATGCCCTTTTTCGTAAGGCGTAATCAGGCCCTTTTCGTAATCCGTAGGCTGCCTCAAAAAAAAAAAAAAAAATCAACGTAATTAGTAATAGTACATTAGCTGCAAAACGTAAAGTCGTAATCAGCTCTGAGATTTAAACATAATTTGTAATTGGCGGCTAAAATATTTTGTAATTCGTAATGAGTACCCCCCCATGCAGGCCCTCAACAGGGGTTGCCTAAATGTGACTCCACTGCGCAGGTCTACATTAGATAGGCAGACAGAACCGGGGTCACCCCTGTTCACTGTCCTCATTTCTGGGATGAACACCTTGTGAGCACTCTAAATCTTACTGGCAAGGAGAGCCTTCTTATACTTGAAAAGCACTCTCAGGAGGTCGTGATTTTGTATCTTAAAGGGGGAGCATTTTACGACCTTAAGAAGGAATATTTCTTAGAATTTTAGAGTTTCTTCCTTCAGTGCCTGCGATATATTTTTGGTACCGTTTTTGAAGCTGGAAATCACTTATGCAAAGAAAGCCGTCTTATACTAGGATAGCACTTTTGTAAGGACCTTCAGAATTATTTCTAAGAATTCCTTCCTTCAGTATGTGCAATGAATTTTTGAGTCTGGAAATCACTTTCTTGTGAGAACTTAGTTTAAATCTTAGGCAAGGAAAGCCTTCTTACAGTACTTGGAAAGCACTCTTATGTCAGGGTCAGGACTGTGTATCTTAAAAGGGAAGAACTTATGTGACCTTCAGAAATGTTTCTAAGAATTCCTTCTTTCCATATTGCAATGAATTTTTGGTGATGTCTTTGAATTTGAAAATCACTGTCTTGTGAGCTGAGTCTTGCACAAGAAAAGCCTTCTTATATTTGGAAAGAAGTCTTATGTAAGGTAAGGTGCTGAAGGGTCATGTGTATATATCTTAAAGAGGTAGACTTTTGTGACCTTCAGACATATTTCTTAGAATTCCTTTCTTCAGTACGTGCAAGAAATTCAGACGCAGGACTTGAATCTGGAAGCCAAGGTCTTGTGAGCAATCTTATATAAGACCTTACAAACATAACTGCAATTTAAGTTCGTTTCTCAAACACTAGTCTAAGCTTTCTTGTGAGGGCATATTTTACAAGAATAAGAATACTTTTAAAGGGTAGGAAAATTGTATTTATAGATCTGAATCCTAAGATTTTTATTCATTGCAGTTTTATCAACATCAAGGTGCCATCCTCATATATAGGACTGTCTTCGGGGCAAATTAAATGAGACTCAAATATACATTTTTAAAGGTTCCCATCATTGATCAATATTTAAACAAATTACAGCTTGCATATTGAAAACAGACTTGGAATTGTAGGCATTAAAATTTATGATTCTCATCATTTTGGAATGAAGAAAAGCATCACGGATTATTTCAAGGACAGCATTTGAAATGCTGAAATGATTTAATCAAAGTTCTCCACCTCCCTGTTTGCATTATGTTCACATGAATATTCTGAAACAGGGCTTGAAATTCATTTTGGGGAACAGGTGCACTGGTGCACCCAACCTAAATAATTGGGTGCACAAAATTTTCTGTGGGTGCACCGAGTAGAATGTCAGCGAAAACTAACTATGTTTTGTTTCTAAAGAAAAGTACTACAAGAATGATTTTACTATTTCTGACACTTAGATGTTAAGAATATGCTGAATACCAGCACTCTAAATTTAACATCTTGACATATACGTAAACCTACAAAAAACATTTGGGTGCACGGAAAAAGAATTGGGTGCACAGCTCCAATTTTGGGTGCACTAAGGTTCACCAGTATTTCCAGCCTTGTTATGCCATGAATATTTTGAAAGAATATTGCTACAGAGAAACCGTCAAGGGAAAACATAATTCATGGCTCCAGGGCCTTACTGGAAATAAAGTCGTTAATCTTAATAAGGGAAACTGAAGAGGAATTCTTATTGGATTTCTGTGTGTTTGTTTAATTCATCACATTTCTTTGTGTGACTTTCTTGATTTCATGTTGGGTACGTATTATTTTCTTATAGTTGAACACAAGATTATATTGGATACCATATGAATTCTAGCAAGTCAATAATAAATTATATGCAAGGAACAGAATCTCCTTTTTTATTGGATTTCTGTGTGTTTGTTTAATTCATACCCATTTCTTTGTGTATCTTTATTTCATATTGAGTATGTATGATTATTTCCTATATATAGTAGTGCAACACAGGGTTATATTGGTTATCATATGAATTCTAGCAAGTCAAAAATTATAATAATATGCCAGGAATGAACAAGTTCTCTGCTATCCTTTTTAAACTAAAGAATAAATAAAAAAGATTTTTTTTTGCACCCAGATACATGTATGACAAGTGAGGAGTTTAACAGATATAACAATAAAAAATTTGGGTAAGTCCCAATTTACTCAGTGTTGGCAAGAACGTTTAGTCCTTTTGGTCATAAAGATATAACAATGCTGTGAAATAACACGGCAAAGTCTAATAGCCTATTATGGTATAATATTTGCCCCAAAACTACTTATTTCCTTTGGAAGAAGTTCTAAGAAAATGAGATGGAATACAAGAGAAAAATGAGACCCACCTTCAAGCTTGGACAGGGTGCAGGGGTTACTGTCAATCAGGGCGAGCTGGAAATGCTGAAAAATAAACAGAAATACCATAAATATGTATAACACATGTGTAGTGTACAGGCATACACAGATCTTACATGTTTGACTGAACTGTCAGAACTAGTGCTTACATTGTATATTCTTCAAGAAAAGAGAAATGACTTTAAAATTTATCCGAATAATATACCCATGAATGTATGGTACATGGGCACACAGATCATAATGTTAAGACTTCACAGTAGTGTTTACATTGTGTATCCTTCAAAAAATGTAACATAGCTGTAAAATTTCCGCCAATACAATGTAGTTGTATCAGTTTGGTAGATTTTAAAACATGGGAGATTTATAATGTTACACAAGTTGTGTGTGCACAAGAAATCAGATTCCATGTCATATGGTAAGCTTATAGTTTTAAAGTTTTAGAGTGGCGCGTTACGCCAGTTTGGTGTTTTACTGGTATGTAATTGGGGTTTATATTTTCATGGCTGCTTCTTGGAAAGGATTCCCTACAGCGTAATAGGCCATTTTAATTCTAGAGCATAGAGCATAGACAGACTGCTCTAATTCAACGCAGAGCGTAATTAGCATATTTTGCGTATAGCGTATTCGCCAATTTAATTCTACGTAATGCCTTGTAGTAACTTGGAATTTATTGTAAATCGTAATCGAGAGGTTTCCTGAATTCAGCGTAACACGTAGCCAGCTCTCAAAATTTAGAGCAGAGTGTTGTCGGGACCCCCTCATACAGCCCCACAAAGGCTGCAGAAATGTTAGAAATTCCTGTAGTTCAGAAAAAGCTGACTTCAGAAGTGGATTTGTTGCACTTCTTTGTGCTCGAGTCTTGCAAACTCAGCTTTCTCCAGTGTCTGCCAACCAAATCCTTCCCCCTTCAACCTCCTAATTAGAAAATCCCTAAATTACATCCCGGCCTGCACCTGGACCCTGACCTTCGACCCGACCTTGACCTTGGCAGTATTAGCGCCCAGCTTGTCTCCATACTTTCATTTTGTCACACCACTTTCCCTTTCGGGCTGCCTGCCCTGATGCCATTTGTCACAAGTGTGACAAGGGGAGGGCAGGAGAATTTGTTCTGTCAGGGGACAAGCCACTAATGATGGTGGCAGGGGAATGTGGAGGGGGACAATCCATAAGTCATGTGGACAGGGGTGCCAACAAATTGGAAAGATAAACATTCAGTTTAACATGGAAAAACTTGTGAACATAAACTAAGCTATACCAGCCAACAAATAAAAATGGGCAGTCGCAAGTATAACTTTATACATGTACGCCAAAAATCAGTTACTCAAGCAACTGGATATGATTTTGGAAACAGTAAGACGTTTCAGCTAGCACTAGCTTTCGTCAGTGACTGATAGATCAGAGAAGATATGCAGGTTTATAAGCATAAACTGACCCCAAAGTAATTACTTATTTGCTATCAAAAAAATACTGTACAGACCACTTATTTTGATAGCTTCAAACAAAACTTAACGTAGGTACACTGGCCAAAGATAGCTTCACTATAGACACAAATTGGTGTCACTTACAATGAACTTATCCACAACCACAACACTATACATATACCACAGAGTTGTAGTATAGATGAACTCCCACAAGCTTCTCCTGATTTAAACACAACAGAGCGCTTTCAAACAAGCCTTTGCTGAAAAGTTGAGGATCAGTCTCTTTCTCACAACCACAACACTACACATACACCACACAGTTATATACCTCTTGTTCTGTGTTCCCCATCTTTTCACTAATATAGAAGATTCTCCAAGAAGCTGATTTAAAAACAACCAAGTGCTTTCAAACAAGCCTTTGCTGAAAAATTGGAGATCAGTCTCTCTATTTCTCACAACCACAACACTACACATACACCACACAGTTATATACCTCTTGTTCTGTGTTCCCCATCTTATACTAGAATAGGCGATTCTCCAAGAAGCTGATTTAAAAACAACAGAGCGCTTTCAAACAAGCCTTTGCTGATAAATTGAAGAACAATCTTCCTTTTTTCTGCCTGGAGGCACGGAAAACGCAGCTCTCTCACTCTCTCGCACACGGAAGCGAACCCAGGAACTGAGTCCTGGTTTCCAGCGTGATTTCAGCATATATACACCTTCCCTACACAGTCTAGCTACCATATAAGGGTTTTACGCATGTTTAAGGACTGTCTGGTGAGTCTGTTGATCAACATACGCACCAAGCTGACGTCACAAGCAGATAGAACTAACATCTCTGCCCACGGAGAGTTGGCTTCCTTCCCAGTGAGAAACTCTGAGTCTATAAATACTCACCACTTCCCACGATTAGGAGGATCTGGCAGACAGATTTTCAGACGACGGGAAAGGAGCGATCTGATTGGACGTGGAGGCGGTGACACACGGTTACCATGGTTACAGTCAGGAGTGCTTATATAAGTCCTCACTACTTTCACTTAACCCGGTTCAACCCGTGGTTTTTGGGAGCTGAAGTGGGTAGCCTTAAATGGCTCTTCAATATACATGTGCGAGGGGCTTTCTAAGGACAGGGCTGGAAATACTGGGTGCATTTACATCTTAGTGTACCCAAATTTAGAGTTGTACAGTACCTAATTATTTTCTGTGGGTGCACTGGTGCACACAAATATTTTTGTAGGAATTTCTAACATTAGTATATAATAAGTAAGTAAGTATATAATAGTATACCGGATATTCTTGGTCTCTAAGTGTCAGAAAAATAATAAAATCTTTGTTGTAGTAATATTTAAGGTTTTGAATTTAGCTCTCATTTTAGATTCAAGCTCAGAAGGAGCAGTAAGACCTGCAATTAGGTTTTGTTTCATACGTGCACCCAAAAAAAATTTTGTGCACCTAATAATATTTCAGGTTGGGTGCACTTGTTCCCAAAAATGAATTTCGAGCCCTGAAGGAAGAGCTAGGCTTCCAATCATGGTTTGTTAGCTGCCAGCGCAAACACAGGCACCAACTCCTACTTAAGCGCTTGGACGTGGTTCTGAGCTATCGAAAGCTGAAGCAGCTCTGATGAGTTGGCAAAGAGAGAGTCATAGAAAGTAGAGAAAGCTTCTTGACGCGTGGCTACGAGAGTTAAGTGCTGAAACGATGATGTAAATGCGATCATCGGTACGCTGTCAGAGGCTGAATAGTTCGTCAACGATTGAGTACTTCGTCAAGAAACGTTACGCACATGTTGCAACCAGCGTAGATTTCGACAGAAGTGTTTGACAGCAAGAACTGTAACCATAGTACATGTGATCAAATGTAAGCCGTCAAAGACAACAGTACTTTACCAGGACTCTTCGTAAAAAAAAAAAAAAAAAAAACCTTACGCACATGATACAACCAGCGTAGATTTCGACAGAAGTGTATGAAAGCAAGAACTGAAACCATAGTACATGTGATCTAATGTAGGCCGTCAAAGACCACAGTACTTTGCCAGGACTCTTCGTAAAAAAAAAAAAACCTTACGCACAGGTTACGACAAGCGGAGATTTCGACAGAAGTGTTTGAAAACAAGAATTGTGACCATAGTACATGTGATCTAATGTAAGCCGTCAAAGACCACAGTACTTTACCAGGGCTGTTCGTAAAATAAAACGTTACGCACATGTTGCAACCAGCGCAGATTTTGACAGAAGTGCTTGAAAGCAAGAACTGTAACCATAGTACAAGTGATCACATGTAGGCCTACAAAGACCACAGTACTTTGCCAGGGGTGTTAGAAAACGTTCAACCATCGTAACCACCTCTGCTTGTGACACAGATGCAGAGATTGTTGTGTAACAGACAGTGAAATTCAGACGTCAAAACCGATTGTGACGACAGTGTTAACGTAACGTGTTGACGACCATGTAACGTTATATCAGAAATAGAAATAGGAATTTCAGTAGAAACAGAATTGCAATAGAAAGCTTATGCTTATGTAACTACAAGCAGAGATCATTCTAAGAACACAATTTGTGTGACTCTTTTGTTGCTTGCAATGACTTAAGCCGTAAACTGTAAAGACCAAATCATTACTGGTTTACTGCACTACTCTACAGTTACAAGTAGTTTGGACAGTCAATAATTTAGGGCTTGAAATAACCACCTACACTTAGCCTCTACCAGGCTTCGGGAGGCGGCTGGAAAGAATAGAAATTGGCCAAATAGAGAGAGATAGCATGCCAGGGGAGTTTGTCTGCTGGGAGACATTTTGCCGCACCGGTAGAGGCCAACCTACATTACGTATCAAAATACTAATTTTCCTACTTTTAATAAGTTTTAGAACCAACCTACATTTCGGAACTGTTGTATTTCTTTTCAAAGTTTTAGGCATGTTTCAACTGATGATACAGAATTTTGACTGGGTTGTTGAAACGTTGCAGCTTTGTTATTGGATAAATCACAACAAGGGAGCCACATGGACGATCCTGGTTCAAGGCCTGACCTCTGCCCCCAGACAACCCATAATACGCTGGATCTTTAGTTCTTGGAGCGGCGGCCATGTTTGTTCTATGCCGAAGGTCGGAAGGTCACTTGTTTTTAAGGGATCATTATGGGCTGATAGGGCACAAGTGGGAAGGGCTTTAGCTGGGGTTTCTTAGGCCAAATGAGATCAAATAATTGTTTCAAGGTTATTGAGAAGAAAAAGAATGAGAAGAGGATAAATTTGTACTTGAAATATGTGCATGCTTTTGACCTTAGCCAAATTGAATGAATGAGTGAATGAAATTTACAATTTGAGGATATTCGATGTTTCAAGAGCTTCTATTGTTATTTAAACACATATGTATAGAAAACTCAAATAAAGTATGAAGTATCAAAAACTCAAACAATTAAAGCTGGGATACAAGTTATTGTATTGAAGAAGCCTAATTGCCCAAAGCAAATGAGATCATGCAAAAAATTCAACACAAGTTGCAAATTACCCCAAATGACCTTTGACCCACCCCATTGTCCTCTTGACACAGAAGCACTAATTATATGCAAATGAGCTCATTAACTAAGAATGGTCTTCGTTAAGTCTCAGTGGGCCCCAGCTTT